ACATGGGATCTTTGGTGGGGAAGGACTGGTACTTACCCAGATATCTTGGAGAGCCCTTCTCTGGCTCCCCTACGGGGATCCTGGGGGAGGGTGGGTTCCTGATACCCTTGATTTCCAGCTGTGAAGCAGAACGCATGAAGCTAAAACCCTTCTGGCTCAGTTTCTCTTCATTCCCTTGGAATTCCAGGGTTCCTTTTATGCAAAATGAGGAAAGATAACATCCACCTTCTCTGACAACCCCAGGACTCAGCGATAATAAGCTTGGCTCTAGGACAGACAGGGGCTCAAGAGGACCCTTCTGAGAGGGGTCCAGTAAAGGACGTTCCACAGCAGCTTTCCTGGCTGAACAAGCCCTCTTAACATCAGGGTAGAGGAGGGGAGGACCTAGGGAAGAAGGAACACATCTCTAACACTGATCCTAACACCCTGATGGTCTCTCCAAGAGCAAAGCCTCTAGGTCATGATCAGCAAGTGACTCTTGGAGCTAGGTTCAGTGTCTCCTCTCCCTGAGGGCTTAGAGGCACCTCCACTAGGTCCCTAGGTTTGGGTTTGTGATGGGTGAAGGTGATGGATTGGCTTTGGCTAGCTGTTCTTTTCCCTCATTAGTCCTGAGACAGATGCTCCTGGGTTAATTGGTTAACTCATTTGAGCATCTTTTCCTTGACCCTGCCCTCACCCTAATCAACTCCAACCCTAAGGCTAGAGAAAATAGGGGTACTGATGCCCATCCCAAGGAACTGCTCTGGCGTTCCGTTCCCCCCCACCCCAGCAGTATTTCTTGAACGTTTGTGACTATTATCCAAGGATTAAATCCATTGTATATCATCACCCAGGACACACATACCCTTAACCACACTAACAGGTGATGAGCACTGATCATTTCTATTCCATTCTATTATTAAAAAAAAAAAAAAAGATTTGTCTTGATCGTCTAAATTGGTTTGACGACCACCTTCCAGGACAATCTAGTTTCTCTTTGGAATGTTTGCACATTGCTAGTCAGAGCCAAAGGTGGACTTTTACCATGATGTTTTTTTTTTAAATTTATTTATTTATTTATGATAGACATAGAGAGAGAGAGAAGGGCAGAGACAGGAGGAGGGAGAAGCAGGCTCCATGCCGGGAGCCCGACGTGGGACTCGATCCCCGGACTCCAGGATACCGCCCCCCCCCCCAAAGGCAGTCGCCAAACCGCTGAGCCAGCCAGGGATCCCCCCTACCATGATGTTAAAGAAGGTAAGCCTCAGACCCCTCATTTGCATTCATGTGTCTAATTTTGCACTCATAATTTTGTATTCCTTATCTTGAAGAGAGTCCCCCAAATTTCATAGCTTCAGGCACCACCAAATCTGGATCTGTGGCAGTATAAGTAAACTTGAGACTTTATTGAGTAATTACCTTGTGCTACATACCATTCTGAGGGCTTCAGGAACAATATCTTCCTTAATCCCTAGTGCAGTACACCAGCTGCTATTTTACAAGTGAGCAAAACTGAGACCCAGAGAGTTTTGGTCACTTGCCTAAGGTCATACAGCTAATCTGTGGCAGATTTGAGATTTGAACCCGGGTCACTCTGATTCCAACCCCCCTACTGTGAAAATGCCTGCCTATAACCATGCTAGGAATATGAAAGCAGTTTAAAAAATGCTAGTGTCCTTCATTCTCCCATCCTCTGGAGATGCCTCTGATCCCCTCTTGACCAGCACAGGCATGCTCTGCTCTTGGCTGAGGGATTCCAACTAGTTGCCAGGTGGAGGAAATAAGGATGCCCAGTTAAATTTAAATTTCCGATAAACAATGAATAATTTGTTAATTAAGTAGGTCTCAAGCCTTTTTGTTTCAAATTTCCTAGGGAAACCCAACTTCCTTCCATCACCCCCACACCATCCCCCACTGGGCCTTAAGAAAGCGTCTGGGGCTCTAGACGGAATGCAGGGTGGAGAGGCGAAATCCAACCAACTAGTAAAAAGCAAGGGACAGAAAAGGCACTTCAGATGAGCTGGATGCTGCCTGTCCCCGTAACCCAACAGAGGGATGTTCTTCCCAAGATTGAGTTGCATGTACCTCTGATTTGACTCTCCTCCAAACTTGTAGACACCCCCATCCTCGTATTAAAACCATGCTTTTCAGACCGGAAAAGATACCTAAAAGATTCGAGAAGGTATGCCAGGGAGTCTCGGAAGTCACAAGTTCAACACAACACACCCACCTCCTTTACTATCAGTTTGATTTGAGGATGTGGTGGGAGAGCCATTGGTTGATATTTTTAAAAATAGCTATGGGATGGATGGAGTAGGATGCAAACTTGTCGGGAATCTCTACGGCAAAACCTGTGACTTCAAGGAAAGCTAAGGACGGTAGCCTGAAGCATTCTCCCCAGACTCCCCCCGGTGTGTGCGTGTGTTTGGGGGAGGGGGTCTGGCGATCGCCGTCCCGGCTTTAGGGGTTCCCCGTGCGAAGGCGTGAGAAGTGCGCAGGCAAGCCCGGCGTCCGGGCGCCGGGAGGGGCGCACCCCAGGCCTGCGCGCCGAGGGAGAAAGTGAAGCTGGGAGTTGCCACTCCCAGGGACTCGCTGGAATGCGGTGGAGGGGGTGGGGGGGCGAGCCGGGAGCGCGCGGCTCCCAATCACGGGAGGAGGAGGAGGTGGAGGAGGAGGGCTGCCTTGAGGAAGTCCAAGAATGAAGTTGTGGAGCTGAGAGTCCCCCTGCGTCGCGCCCCGAGAGCCGAGCGGAGCCCCCACCCCCACCCCCGCCACCACCAGGCAGCCGCCGGGTCCAGCCCGAGCCATGGGGCCGGAGCCGCAGTGAGCACCATGGAGCTGGCGGCCTGGTGCCGCTGGGGGCTCCTTCTCGCCCTCCTGCCCTCCGGAGCCGCGGGCACCCAAGGTGGGTCCGGGGCGGGGAGGGCGCCGGGCGGGACGCGCCCCTGCAGCCTGGGGCCGCCGCCGAGGTCCCGGGGGCAGGCGGGGGCGGGGGGGGCCGCACGAGCCGCGGGATCGGGTGTTTCGGACGGTCCCGGCGCCGCGAGCAGCCGGCCTGGGCGGGGAGGGGGCCGGAGGGAGCGGGGGCCGCGGGCCGGGGGCGGGGGCCGGGGCCGGGGGGCGATGACGCCCGAGCGCCCCTCCAGGTCCCCGGCAAGAGGCTGGCGCTTCCCAGACTCCGCGACGGCGCTGGGAACTTGTCAGAAAAAGTTCTCTGAGATTGTTCAGAAAGTTTACCCTCAAAGGGTGCACTGCATGGGGTGTGTGTGTGTGTTTCCCCCCCTTTCTTGAGCCCCTTCAAACTTTCTCAAAGCCTTTCCAGTTGGCAGCCTCCGCCTCCAGACTGGACTGGGCTGGATTCCTCGGGGGTCCCTTCGGCTGCCCCTCCCCCTGCGCCCCCCCCCCGCTCCCCCTCCCCGCAGCCGATTGGGTTTAGTTCCTCCAGCTTCAGGCAGGATCGGGGTGTGGAGGGGGTGGGGGGGGAAGCAACCTGTCCGGCCAGAGCCAGGCAGGAGAGGGTGGCCGGTCGGACTGCAGAGTTGCCTCATGCTGGAGCCTGGGGTGGGGGGAGGGGGAGACGTTTGTTTTGAGCAAGTCTCTTTAGGGCCAGCTCAGGGACTGTGTGCTTTGTGACTTTTGTTGGAGAGCATGGGCCACGGAGGGGTGGTGCTGGGTGTTCTGGTCTGGGACATAGAGTGGGAAACCAACGTGGGGGTTTCCTGGGCAGTTGTGGGGAAGTGGGGGTGGGGAAGGAAAGCTAAAGAAATAAGACCTGATGCGGATAAGCAGAAGGCTGGGTTGTCCTACCTTTTCTGTCAGGTGGTGTGTGGGGAAGCGGGGTGGTGGGGGCAGTGGGGGGTATGCCCCGTTTGCCCATCTAGGTGCACTAACAACGAAAGCGAACGTCTGCTGGAAATCCACTCTGCACCAGGCATGGTGCATGGTGGTTTGCGTGCATTCCCTCCTTTGAACCCTCAGACCAGCCCTACAAGAGAAGTCCTACTGGCATTCCCATTTCCAGGTGAAAACCTGGGCTTAAAGAGGTTAAATAGCATCAAGGAAGTGGGGGGTGCAAGACTGGACCCCTGCCCCCCAACCATGCATTTGCATCACTGTATCGATCTACCTTGAACAGTGGTCAACACTGCTCTTCCTGCATCACTGGGTTGTGGGGAAGACAATATGAGCGCGTTCTGGGAGTAGTGGGTGGTCTCCATTGGTCAGGGAGTCTGGAGAAGGGGTGGGTGTCCTCTTGTCTGTGGGTTGCCAGAGGGCGCCTCTGTCCGACCTTCGCTGTGCTGTCTGAGGGGCGTCTACGCCAGGGTGTTCCTGAGTTGTGTGGTCTGTGTGTTTGTGTGTCTGGGCTTTGTGTTGCCAAACAGCAGTCTCCCTGTTGGCCTCGAGACTTAGCTGAACTCTGCCCTCTCAAGGAACTCCCTCAAGGTGCTGGGCCAGATCTGCTGTAAACAGCGGGAGGTGGCCTCACCCCTTCTCTCTGAGGAAGGAGGCTCCACTTTCCTGGGAGCCCGTCCTTCTCCTTGTTTCCCAGGCGGGTGTCTTCAGCCTTGACCTTCTGCTGAGGTGGGTGAGGCCAGGCTGCGACATCAGAACCAGAACGAGCTGCTGCCTCCCTCAGCTGGGCCTGTGCGAGCAGGTGGGGGTGGCCTGGGTTGCTGCAGGGCTGGGACCTCAGGGATCATTTCTCCCACTGACAACTGGGGCCTCCTCAGGTCTACCTCACCCCTCCATCTGCACTGCTGGGTGCAAAGACAGATGTTGGGCGTGTCTGGCAGAAAATGGTTGCAATGGCAGCGCCCCGCCCAGCTGTCTCTAGCACCCCCATTGTATCCCAGGGCTGAAGGCTAGGGCAGGAATTTGGGGGAAGGGGGAGATGGAGAGGACACCGAGGATCAGGGTTTTGCTAGGATCCATTCTGAAAGATTTTTTTATTTGAGGGAAGAGGGGGAGGGAGAAAGGATGGGGGAGGTTGGGGAGAGGGAGAGAGAGAATCTCAAGCAGACTCTCTGCTGAGCGCCAAACCCCATGTGGGGCCTCAATCTCAGGACCCTGAGATCATGACCTGAGCCGAATTCAAGACTCAGATGCTTCACCGATGGAGGCACCTGAGCCGCCCAGGCACCCCTAGAATCTGTTCTTAGAGGTCAAAGTTTTGTCAAGTGTTAACAAACACATACTCCTTATCTTGCAGAGCTCATATTTTAATTCCCAAACGATTCTTCCAATAACTTCCTTTTTACTATACTTGGGGAAAGGAACTTCATTTTAATATTCAAGTTAAAAAAAGAAAACCCAACTGAAAAGCTAGGATGAAATGCAAAAAGAGAAAATAAGTACATCGCGTTCCAAATACGAAGGCACCTTGTATTTTCTCTTGGTTTGGAATTATCCATACTCCTGCTATATGAACTTCTCTTGCCTTAACTTAAAAAAAAAAAAGTGCAACATGCTTTCTATGTGCCAGGTTCTTTTCCATGGACGGTTTCATTTCATCTCTGCAATAATCCAGTGAAGTAGGTACACACAGTTCAAAGAAGCGAAGTGACTTATCCAAGGCTTCGTAGTGACCCAAATATGTATGTCTAGACCCAATAATAATGTCTAATGAAGAGGCATTAAGAGTTAGTCAAAGTCTTATCCTATTCGACAGGAATGGGGTGAGCAAAGCCTCCGGTGCAGCCGAGTAGCTAGACTGGGGTAGAGGTGCTACTCTGTTATTCAGGTGAGTGACCTTTTTTATCTAGGCTATGGAACGGGGAGTGATCTGGGGCCCACTGAGGGCCTCTCCTTCCCTGTCCAGCCCATGCCTGAGTTCCTCTTGCACCCTCCAGGCAAGGCAAGGGATTGAGGAGAGGGATAGGGCGGATGCAGGAGGACAATGCAGGGGGGCAATGCAGGGGGGCCTGCAGGGCTGTGGGTGAGGGAGACAGCTGGAGTGGAAACATGAGGAAGCAGTAGGGGGCTGGGGTGGGGCGCTGGAGTAGGGCCCAGGTACTTGTGCCTGCCCCTGGGTAGTGAAATGCTCTGGAGAGATCCCCCACCCTGCCTCTGCCTGTGGTGGTAACACCTCCATCTCTTGCTGGGCCACCTTCCCCACCCCTGGGAAGGGAGCCCATGTAGGATGAGGGGTGTGTGCTCTCCAGGAGTAGAATTATTATAGCCAATGTTTGTTTGCCTCAGCTCTGTTTACAAAGCCTTGTCGTGTTTACACACTGCTTTTTGATTCATTCTCTCATTTAACTCTCATTTAACTTCTCTGCAGAAAGTAAGAGTTCTTATTGTTTCATTATTCCCATCCTCACAGTCAAGTTCAGGTCACTAAATATTCATTGAGTGCCTACAAAGTCCTAGGTGCTGCTGGGCATAAAGATGAATGTGATATGGGACCTCTGCCCCAGAGGTCCAAGGTCGTGTTCAAGGTCACATTTGAGCAGCCCAGCTAGAGTTCTGGTTTAATGACCTGGAGCCCAGTCCCTGGTCTGATACTGGCCTTGATATACCAGGTGTGTGGGGTGGGGAGTTCTGGGCATCACTAGAATGGGCATGGGCTCTTACCCTGTGGATCTGGGGGAGGTGACTTTGGGGGTGCAGGTCATGTTCATCAAAACCAAAAGAACTGGGATCCCTGGGTAGCGCAGCGGTTTGGCGCCTGCCTTTGGCCCAGGGCGCGATCCTGGAGACCCGGGATCGAATCCCACGTCGGGCTCCCGGTGCATGGAGCCTGCTTCTCCCTCTGCCTGTGTCTCTGCCTCTCTCTCTCTCTCTGTGACTATCATAAATAAATAAATAAATAAAAATTAAAAAAAAATAAAAATTATAAAAAAAAAACCAAAAGAACTATCTCCTGCTAGTGAGCAAGAGAAGCATGTGGGGGTGAAGTCTAGTGGGGAGGAAAGAACCCTCTTGAGAACACCCCCAGAACTGGGACTGAACACTGACTCTGAAGAATCCTGAACAATCTTTGAGCAGAGGAATGGACACCATGACTTCAATTATCCTTTTTGGTTGGGAAGTTCCTCTTATTGATTCCATCCATCCATCCATCCAACCAACTCTTACTTAGTGTTGGGCTGGTCTCATAGTACTGTGCCAGAGAGCTGGAGGTTGGGCCTCCCAAAGGCCAGGTGTCCCGGATACACGAGCCCCCCCATGTAGAACCAGACTTCCTGCCCTCCTCCCCCCACTGAAATCCATGGGAGCTGGGTGGATGTGGGGATTGTGATGAGGACTGGGGAGGAGGAGGTTAGTGAGGAGATGGGGTAGTAGGTGGGAGGGGCCCAGCTTTTCGGTGAAGGGGACATGGTGAAGGGGATGGAGTGGAGGTAGGGGAGGTGTCAAGAGGCCTTTCTTGGCTTCATGTCAGCTTGCTGGGGGAATTTGCCCGCCAGCCTCCAGCTCCCTGGGAGAGTAGGTACCAATTTTACCACCTGTTGCAAACACTTAAAGAATCTTAGACTCAAATCAGCCACAAACAAACTCGCTGGTGGGGTGGGGCTGCCACTCTATCTGGTCCTCAGCTCAGCCCGGCCACCCTGACCTGCCCAGAGTTTGCAGTGTTTATCGGTGGCATCACTGGAGTTGGTGTGTATTTATTTCCCTTTGCACCAGGCGTGGGGGGAATCTGTATGTGTCCAGTTGAGAATGTAGGATCTAAAGTTGAACTCAAGTTCAAATCCTGCCTCCTCCATGGCTCACAAGCTTTATGGGCTCGGGAGAATAAGCCCTGTTGGCCTCAGCTTCCTATCTTTGCAAGATAGAGGGTTGTAGTCCCAACCTCTGGAGGATGTTATGAGGCTCCACCCAGAGTGCCTGGCTGCGAGCACACAGTAGGTGCTCAGTTAATGTGGCTGCTCTTGGTGTTTCCATCGTTGATGTTTTTGCCATTGCCTGGTTGCCACAGCTGGTGTCCCTTAGAGGTGGCAGTGGGCCACAGGGGGTGGAGACAGCCTGCCCCAGCTCTGCTTGTCCCTGTCCCAGGCTTGGGCCAGAGCTTTGGGGTCTGGGCCTAAAGACAGCTGTGCCTACAAAGCAGCTGAGGCTGCCGAGGCCGCAGGAGGTCCTAGCAGCGGGCGTTATTTTGGGCCTGGCCTGCCACCCCCAGCTCCTGTTTCTCTTGGGAGTCTGGGGGGGAGGGACCCTTGAGTGCTATTTCTGGGCCCTCCCCTTCCTCCCTCTTTGCTTCCTTCCCTGTCTCTCCAAAGGGGTGGGAAAAGAGACCACTCTGGCTTTCACTGGGAGGCTGCCAGCACATGGCTCATTGGTCCTGGCAGGAACCCCAGGGGCTGGCCCTACCAGCCTTTTCCCAGCTTTCTGGAGGCAGAGTGTATCTCTTATCCCCCGCAGGATTTGACTTCAGACCTTGGAGTCAGCCACTCCTGTCCCCCTGAATCTCAGCAAGTAGGCCGTGGGAGGTGGGGTGGTGGCCCAAAAGAAATAGGGGCGACCCAGGCACCTGTGAGCCTGTGTCTCTGGGGGTGCCCTCTGCCCCCCCCACCGCACCCCCCCCCCCGGCACACCCTCCTGGGCAAGACGCGCCAGGTGATTCATCTTCTCACCAGAGCAGAAAAACGAGTTCAACTGGGCACTTTAATCTCCCCCCCTACTGGCAGGCATGGTGCCAGCCGTTGTCCACAGCAGCCCCTCACCAGGGGTGGCTTACCCCGTCAATATCCCTGGGCTTAGTAGGCCCCCCTGGTCTCAGGGACACCCCGCTGAGGTCCAGGTGGGCTGGGGAGGCAGTTCATCTTGATGCCCCTTGGCCGATGGTTGGCACCCGGCACGTACACAGGGCTGAGGTAGTGCCCTTGTGGCAGGAGTTTCGTGGCAGAGATTCCACCAGCTGGTTCTGGAGTCTTGCCCTGAGGAGGTGGCAAGGGAGAAGCACCGGCACAGGAGCCATCAGAGTAGTCATCACTCTGGCCCAGGGTCTGTAGCCTGGGTCCGGATGCCCATTGTTGGGGTCTGATGCTCCTTTTTTCTGCCTGGGGGAATTCCAGAAGTCCCTGCAGTGACCAGGCCCCTAGTGGTCCTCATGCCCCAGCTATGACTCTAGCTGACCCTCCTTCCCTACTTTCTGGGTGGCATTGTGGGGGTGGATATCCCTTGCCAAGAGGTTGGCACGTGGGTGGTATTGGAATGGGGTAGAGAGAATGCCCTGAGTTTGTTTGCTCGGGAGAGGGGCAGGGGGTATCCAGAAGATTCATGATTCATCATGGCCTCTCTCGGGGGATTTTTATCCCTTGGCCATGAGTCGTGCCTTTGGGACAAAGGGAGGCTTTCTTTGCCAGCCAATAGCCTGGGATCGGGTGGGCAAGCTCCCCAGGGGTGGCACAGCAGGGTCCCCTCTGGATGCTCAGGATGCGCCAAGTTCGAAGGAGCCTCTCCTTGGATTTCCCTCCTCTTCCCAAACTTGCGCACTTTCTTTTGCTGTTGTGCCTTCTGCAAGTGCAGGGGACATGGGGAGAGGGGTCCTTCACTTGTGCTTTCTCACTGTCCGAGACGTCCGAGATGGCATGACTCTAGGGAGTGAGTGGAGAGCAGGAGTCAGGTTGGAGAAGCTCACCGGCCAGTGCCCTCTGACCCATGTCTCCCTCCTATCAGTGTGCACCGGCACAGACATGAAGCTCCGGCTCCCGGCCAGTCCCGAGACCCACCTGGATATGCTCCGCCACCTGTACCAGGGCTGTCAAGTGGTACAGGGGAACCTGGAGCTCACTTACCTGCCTGCCAATGCCAGCCTGTCCTTCCTGCAGGTGAGGCTCATGGGTGACCCAGCCAGGCCCTGCCTCCAGCTGCGCTGAGCCCTATGCTTATACATGGGTGGTAAAAGAGGGTGCTGTTTCCTCACTTGCTGTGGTTCCTCAACTCTGAAGTCCTTTCTGATGTCTGCTCCCTGTCTGTTCTACTGCAAGATCAGTTGACTCCCTCCCTATAATGTGGCGGCCCACAGACATCCCTGGGTGGAATGCACCTGTTCCTTTGCTAAATCTTTTTGCTCTTTTGCCAGCATGATCCCCTCTCGCTGTCCCTGTCCTGCTGGCAGTGGTGAACGGGCAGCTGGGAGTTGTGAGTTCTAGGTCCAGTTCTGCTACTGACAACCACGTGAATGTGGTCTCAGCCCTTGGTTCCCCTGTCTGTGTTTGGAAGCAACAAGGACACTTTGACTCCCCTCTGGGAAAATATCAAATAGGGAATATCTGTGAAAGGGTCAGGAGCAGGGGAGAGAGTGGGTACCAGCCTGCTGGATGGTGTCCACCCTGCTCTGGGGTGGAGCCACGTGCGTGATGCCTGATGCCTGGTCAGGTCACGGCCGTGCTCTCATGTGGGTCTCTCCTTTTATGGACGAGGGAGCTGAGATGCAGCCAGGGTGGGGCACTTGCTTATGGTTCACAAAGTGCCCCCCCACCAGTTATCTGTCTTAATCATATAAAAATCTGGTTTGGGAAGGTGGAGATCTCTTCTTGATGTGTGAGAAAGCTGGACTTCTCAGGGCATGGGGGCTTTGCCCAAGATCCCCAAGGACTTGGTGACTCTGAGGGGGATGGGAGTGGTCCAGGGCCCAGGCCTGCCTCAACCCCACCTGACCCTGTTCCCTCCCAGGATATCCAGGAGGTGCAGGGCTATGTGCTCATTGCTCACAGCCAAGTGAGGCAGATCCCACTGCAGAGGCTACGAATTGTGCGAGGCACCCAGCTCTTTGAGGACAACTACGCCCTGGCCGTGCTGGACAATGGAGACCCGCTGGAGGGTGGCATCCCTGCACCAGGGGCGGCCCCAGGAGGGCTGCGGGAGCTGCAGCTTCGAAGCCTCACAGGTGGTCATCACTCACCGAAACCTTCTCCTTGTTCTTAGGAGCTGATCAGGGCCACTGCTAGCCATGGGAGGCTTTGTGTGAATTAGAACTGGCATCCATTCAGGATGGATGCAGGTGGAGCTAGGAAAGATTAGAACAAGATTTCCCTTCTTCCCAGGAAATCACGGCTTGCATGAGCCTGCAGAGTTTGATAATGAGGATACAGGCTGGGGTTTATCCACTTCTTGGCTAGCAACACATGTTCAGTGAACAACCTGTACAACTGTATGTGGCAGTAGCCCAGACTCCGTGGCCATTTACTTTGCATGCATGAGCCTATCTTGGTCATGCCATTATCTTGCAAGGAAGCACGTTAGCTGCTTCTTACAGATGAGAAAACCGTAAACGGTTTACAGAGGCTGAGTGACTTGCTCACAGTTACATAGCTAGTTAGTGGTGAGGCTGGTTTTCAGACTCCAGAGTCTCTTTTAACCACTAAGCAGTATGTACAGAGTGAAGAGGTGGGAGGACAGGAGAGAGTGGCACGGACCTCTGGACCTGGTCATGGACAGCTCACCCCTCCTTGGATCTCAGATTGTTCATGTGTGTGCAGGAGTGGTGGGGGGGTGGGGTTGGGGTGTGGGGTGCTGATAGAGCGAGGAGATGCTGGTGTCTTCTCTAATCCCCGGGGAAAGCTGAGAAGTCAGGAGGGACCCACGGGAGGGCAGAAGGTGACAGGCGGGAAAGGAAGGCCCTGATTATTGCCCACCCCACAGAGATCCTGAAGGGAGGGGTCTTGATTCAGCGGAGCCCGCAGCTCTGCCACCAGGACACGATTTTATGGAAGGACGTCTTCCATAAGAACAACCAGCTGGCCCTCACGCTGATAGACACCAACCGCTCTCGGGCCTGTAAGCCATACTCCTCCCTGCCTGCTGCCTCCTCTCTTTCTTGAGACCCTGCACTCCTGGCTCACTTCCCACCCCCCACCCCCACCCCTGCTCTATCACTACCCATTTCCTCTTCCTGTCCCATTCCCCCTGCCTTCTCTCTGGGTCTCTTCATCTCTGGTCCTGTGTCCTGCCTCCCTCTGCCTCTAGATTGTGCCTAGGGCCCCTGTTTCCCACCGAGCCTCCCCCTCATTGTGCATTCTGTCTCTTGGTCTCTGGTCTCTCTGTTTCTCTCCCCAGGCCCACCCTGTTCTCCAGCTTGTAAAGACGCCCACTGCTGGGGGGCCAGCTCCGGGGACTGTCAGAGCTGTGAGTCCTAGGGAGGCCCAGAATGTGGGGGGCAGGGGGCTGAGTGGAGTAAAGGAGACATGGGGCAGGGACGGGTGTGACCAGGCCTCAGTGTCTTCCTTGGGGCCGGAAGTCACAGAAAGTGATGCCGCTGGTGAGGGCCTGGTGCCTGGGCTACTACTGCCCAGCCCTCATCCTGCCCTTTGTCTCACAGTGACACGGACTGTCTGTGCGGGGGGCTGTGCCCGCTGCAAGGGCCCACAACCCACTGACTGCTGCCACGAGCAGTGTGCTGCTGGCTGCACGGGCCCCAAGCACTCTGACTGTCTGGTATGTCCCCACGGGGTGGGCGCAAGAGGAGGGCCATCCCACCTGCTACTGCCCTGTTGCCCCTGGCACACCGGGGAAGAACGGCCCAGGGACCATCAGCTTCCTGTCCTGCCCCCCTTCTCCCCCCAGGCCTGCCTTCACTTCAACCACAGTGGCATCTGTGAGCTGCACTGCCCAGCCCTGGTCACCTACAACACGGACACCTTCGAATCCATGCCCAACCCTGAGGGCCGATATACCTTCGGGGCCAGCTGTGTGACCTCCTGTCCCTGTGAGTGCCAGGGAGAAATGTAGTTCTAATCATTTTGCTGGAGTGGTGGTGGCGGGTTGGTTTATGTCGGTGGGAGCTTAAGTGAGCGTTGTCTGCCTCTTGCCCCGGAGAGCTGGTCGTGGCACTTCCTGGGGGGCTGCCTGGTCCTTTCAACAGCTGTGGAACAGGTGGCTGCGAGGAGCAGCGGCTAAGAGCCCAGGCTCAGGAGCCAGGCTGCCTGGGTTTGAAACCCGGCTCGCCCATTTTCTAGTCCTGTGACCTGCTTACTGTACCTTAATTTTTTCATCTGTAAAATGGGAGCAATGACAGCCCCGACATCATAGGTGGCTATAAAACGTTTGAATGACTTATTTTGAAGATTTATTTTTGTGTTTTGAGAGAGAGAGAGAGACAGAGCAAGGGGAGGGGCAGAGGGAGAGAATCTTTCTTTTTTTTTTTTTTTTGGTAAAGGGACACAGTTTATTAAGTAAAGATACAGAGAAAGCTCTCAGAAGTGAGAAGGGTCTTAACAGGGTTACCCAGAGGAAGAGAAGAGAATCTTAAGCGCACTACCTGCTGTGTGTGGAGCTCGATGTAGGCTGATCTCACAACCTGAGCAGAAATCAAGAGTCGGATGCTTCACCAACTGAGCCACCCAGGCGCCCCTGAATGAATTAATATTTGTAAAGCTCTTATGACGGTGCTTGGCACATACTAAGCACTAGATAGATCAGAGTTTTATTTAACAACTCCCCTATTTATTGATGTGCATTTAGGGACTGACTTTGGACCTGGGGCCCCTTTCTTCCTGTCATGTGCGACAGGACTGGGTTCTCAGGTCCTGATGGAACCCTCCCCATGGCACATCAGAGTTCAAACTGTAGAGCCAGACTGTGCTCAAATCCCGGCTTCTCCACCCAACAGCACAATGACCCTGAGTAATTTACATAAAACTGCTTTGATTCCGGGATGCCTGGATGGCTCAGTGGTTGAGCATCTGTCTTTGGCTCAGGATGTGATCCTGGAGACCCGGGATCGAGTCCCACATCGGGCTCCCTGAGTGGAGCCTGCCTCCCCCTCTGCCTGTGTCTCTGCCTCTCTCTCTCTCTCTCTCTCTGTGTCTCTCATGAATAAATAAATACAATCTTTAAAAAAAAATAAGTGCTTTGATTCCCTCTTGGCAAAATGAGAATCTTAACTGCCCATTACATAGAGTTGTTGTGAGGCGTAAATGAATGTCAAGTGCACAGACTTGTCGTAAGGGCATTTCAGGATTGAAATGGGCAATTTCAATCAGGGTAAAACCATTCTGTGGTAATAAAATTCAGAATTGTGGTTGTCCTCAGGGGTGGGGGGACTGGAAGGGGACACAAAAGAAATTTCTGGGGCGATAGCAGTGTTCTGTGTCTCAGTTGGGGTAGCATATAATGTTGGGGTAGGTTGATAATGTTGTACCCTGTAGGCCTCGTCACATTGGTGATGGTGGGGCGCACGTGCAGGGCCAGGGCACATGGACACATGGTCTTCATCTCCTCAGACAACTACCTGTCTACGGACGTGGGATCCTGCACCCTGGTCTGTCCCCTGAACAACCAAGAGGTGACGGCTGAGGATGGGACACAGCGGTGCGAGAAATGCAGCAAGCCCTGTGCCCGAGGTAACTTGGCCATGCCCTGAGCTGGGCTGCACACCCAGCTTGGCCTAGCTCCCTGTCCTGTCCTTCTTCAGACCTGCCTGGGACCCAGTCTCTTTCCACTGTCTCTAGCTTGGCCCTCCCTGGATCAGTCCCACACGTTCCCCCATGTCTCCTATAATTGTGTAAGGGGACATGTGGCCCCAGGAGGGGATGGAGCCCTGAAGTTGGAGGTCCTGGTGTTCCATGTGGGGGCTGAGACAGCCCCTTCACACCTGCCCCTCCCCGCAGTGTGCTACGGTCTGGGCATGGAGCACCTGCGGGAGGTGAGGGCGGTCACCAGTGCGAACATCCAGGAGTTTGCCGGCTGCAAGAAGATCTTTGGAAGCCTGGCATTTTTGCCAGAGAGCTTTGAGGGGTAAGGAAATGCGGAGTTAAAGATGGGCATAGTGGTCTGAGCAGCGTCAGGGCAGTCACTGAATCCTGAGCGCCTAGAAGTGCCAGCGTCTCTGGGGGATGATGGGAAACAGAGGTGGGAGGCCAGAAATGCAAAAGAAACAGGTGGGGGACCAGAGGGTACAGGGACTGGGTGGTTGTTTTCATAAATCACATGTTGGCCACGAATGTATTTTTTTTAATTTTTATTTATTTATGATAGTCACACACAGAGTGAGAGAGAGAGTGAGAGAGAGAGAGAGAGAGAGGCAGAGACACAGGCAGAGGGAGAAGCAGGCTCCATGCACTGGGAGCCCGACATGGGATTCAATCCCGGGTCTCAGGATTGCGCCCTGGGCCAAAGGCAGGCCCCAAACCGCTGCGCCACCCAGGGATCCCCCGAATGTATGTTTTTATGGGAGTCAAAACATCCAGATAAAGCAAAATTCTCCTTGAGTTCATAGTGGCTTTATTCACAATATTCCCCAGCTAGGAATAATGCCAATATATATCAGCAGGTGAAGGAGTAAATAGATGATGGTATATCTACCCGATGGAATTCCCAGGGATAAAAAGAAACAAACAGCTCACTAATAGATACAGCATGAATGAGCCTCAAGATATGCCCACGTTCAGTGAAATAAGCCAGGCAAGAGAGTCCACGCGGTACGAGTCCCTCTACATGAGGCTCTGGAATAGGCAAAAACCAATCTGTGGTAATAGAGTTCAGAACCGTGGTTGTCCCCAGGGGTGAGGGGACTGGAAGGGGACACGAAAGAAATTTCTGGGGTGATGGCAGTGTTCTGTGTCTCAGCTGGGGTAGCAGATACATGAGTGAATGCATTTGTCAAAACTCCTCAGACTGTACATTAAAAGTGCATTTTGTTGTATGTGAATTATACTTCAATAAAAGTATGTGTTAAAGAAAGAGAAAATTTCCTTTAACGTTTCCTGTAGTTCTCTTCCCCTTTCCAGAGGGACCCCGTGCTAAGAGCTTGTGTGGGTTCTCCTAGACCATTTGTGCATACGTGGACACAACGCTGAGAAACATAGCCGTAGTAGTTTTGTTGAGGAGATTGACCTGAAGTGGGAGCTTAAGTGAGCGTTGTCTGCCTCTTGCCCCGGAGAGCTGGTCGTGGCACTTCCTGGGGGGCTGCCTTGTCCTTTCAACAGCTGTGGAGCAGGTGGCCGCAAGGAGCAGCGGCTAAGAGCCCAGGCTCAGGAGCCAGGCCTGCCTGGGTTTGAAACCCGGCTCGCCCATTTTCTAGTCCTGTGACCTGCTTACTGTACCTTAATTTTTTCATCTGTAAAATGGGGGCAAAGACGGCCCCGACCTCATAAGGTGGCTAGAACATTTGAATGAGTTAATAATATTCATACGCTCTTGGAACAGTGCCTGGCAGATACTAATTGCTCTTTTTTTTTTTTTAAGTGCTCTTAAATGTTTTTGTCTACAGTCAAGATAGGTGGGGATTATATTTAACAGGTCTCCTATTTACTGATGACTATTTAGGTAGTTTTCAATTTTTGCTCTTACAAACATTTCTGTGCTGTACGTGTCTCTGGGAACAGGAGCCAAAGTCTCTCTAGGCCACATTCCTAGAAGTAGGATTTCTAGATCAAAGGATATAAATATTGTTTTGACAGATCCTGCCAAACTAGGGCCTGGGCTTTGAAACTCAGGATGAAAACAGCCAGGCTTGATGGGCAAAGGGTTTAAGTGAAGTCATTAATAGAGGGGGGTAGGGGAGGGTGGCCGGGCCAGCTCTGGGGGTCGTGCCCACCTGCTTCTCCGCCTTGCTGATTCCTCTCCTAATCCTCCCCCTAGGGACCCAGCCTCCAATACTGCCCCCCTACAGCCTGAGCAGCTCAGAGTGTTTGAGGCTCTGGAGGAGATCACAGGTGGGCTTCACCTCTCTGCATCCTGCTCTGATGAGGTTGGGGTCCTTATCCTGTCCCCACACCCCTAGCTTCACCCTGTGCCTACAGGTTACCTGTACATCTCAGCGTGGCCAGACAGCCTGCCTAACCTCAGTGTCTTCCAGAACCTGCGAGTAATCCGGGGACGAGTTCTGCATGAGTGAGCACGGGGAAGGGGGGGCCCGAGGAACTTCCCAGGCTTTGGGTGTGGTGGGCACTCCTGCTCCCTGGGGACTCCAGCAGTAATGTATCCGTGGGAGTTTGCAGAGTGTACGGGGGATGGGAGGGAGGTGAGGGCGGCCCTTGCCCATGGGAGCAGCTCGATGGTGCAGCCAAACACTCCTCCCACAGTGGTGCCTACTCGCTGACCCTGCAAGGGCTGGGCATCAGCTGGCTGGGGCTGCGCTCGCTGCGGGAACTGGGCAGTGGGCTGGCCCTCATCCACCGCAACGCCCGCCTTTGCTTCGTGCACACGGTGCCCTGGGACCAGCTCTTCCGGAACCCCCACCAGGCCCTGCTCCATAGTGCCAACCGGCCAGAGGAGGAGTGCGGTAAGACAGGGAGCCCAGCACCACACGCTCCCCGTCTGCCGGCACCCAGGAGTGCCCACGGGTCCCTAGCAGCAGCGATCTTGACACCGCTCTGGCTGGCTTGGCCTCTTGGCATGGCTTCCAGCTGGGTCCTGCCACAGTGCCTTGGCGTCCCTGCCTTCCCCCTCTCCTCTCTGCTGTTTTATCCCTGCATTGCCCAGCAGGTATCCCCACCACTCTGGGCCACAGCCACCCCCACAGCCTCCTCCCCTGGGTCACTTGGACCCAGAACCTCCCTTGAGTGTCCCCTCTGACCCCTTCCTCCTCACTGCAGTGGGCAAGGGCCTGGCCTGCTACCCGCTGTGCGCCCATGGGCACTGCTGGGGTCCAGGGCCCACCCAGTGCGTCAACTGCAGCCAATTCCTTCGGGGCCAGGAGTGCGTGGAGGAATGCCGAGTACTGCAGGGGTATGCGGGGCGGAGCAGGGGGGTGGCCAGGGAGAGGGCACAGGGGCTCCTTCCAGACCCTCATCAGCCATTCCCTCTGGCAGGCTGCCCCGAGAGTATGTGAAGGACAGGTACTGTCTGCCGTGCCACTCAGAGTGTCAGCCCCAGAATGGCTCAGTGACCTGCTTTGGATCGGTGAGTTGCTGGTTGGCTCAAGCTAGGTAGACAGAAGCAAGGCCGAGAATATTCCAGGGGAGGGCTCTGAGTTCAGACCTGGACGGCAGGAGAGTGTGAAAGCAGGAGGAAAGATGAAGGCTGGGGTCTGCAAGAGTTGTGTGATAGACCCTGTGACCCTTTGGACTACGCAAAGGTCCTGGGGAGGCCTGTGTTCTTGGCTGTGACTGTGCCAAGGTGGTTAGACCAATGGGCTTAGGCATCAGGGTATCTGGATTCGAATCCAAGTCCTGCTTCCAACCTTGGTTTGTTCATTTGTAAAATGAGTATTATATTAATACTTACCTCATTGGAATGTAGTAAGAATGAACTTCAAATGGGGTTTGGTACAATGCCCAAGCACAAGAGAGACTTGCTACTGGGTACGTGGGTGCCTTAATCTTTTGGGCGTCTGCCTTTGGCTCGGGTCATGATCTCAGGGTCCTGGGATCGAGCCCCACATTGTACTCTGCAGGGAGTCTGCTTCTTTCTCTCCCTCTGTCCCTCCTGCCACCATTGGTATTCTCTCTCTGTCTCAAATAAATAAATATTTTTTTTTAAAGAAAAATCTGCTACATTTTGGTTACTATTACTACTTGCTGTTATATCTTAAGTAATACACTCCCCTGCTAGGCTTCCAGTTCACCTGAAGCCCCTCACCTGGGGCGGCAGACCCAGTAGGTCTGGGCTGTCCCAGCAGCAGGATGAACGTGCTGTTGAGTGGCCATGGGAACACGAAGGGGACGCATGAGCCGGATCCTGCTACCCTGGGGGTGTTGGTCTAGCGCCCTACAAACCCTTCCTCCCCTCTCAGGAGGCTGACCAGTGTGTGGCCTGTGCCCACTACAAGGACCCTCCCTTCTGTGTGGCTCGCTGCCCCAGTGGTGTGAAACCTGACCTGTCCTTCATGCCCATCTGGAAGTTCGCAGATGAGGAGGGCACTTGCCAGCCGTGCCCCATCAACTGCACCCACTCGTGAGTCCGAGGGCCTTTTCTGTGGGAGGGAGAGCTTTGTCCCAGGACCCTTTCTGGGGCTTTTATTATAAAAAGGGGATAACTCTGCCTTTGCTTATCCTAAGACTCTTAGGGTTTGGTTTTTTTTTTTTTTTTCTGATCCTAAAAATAACACATGTGGTTAAAATTTTTTTAATGAAAACATGAAATATAAATGCCGTTAGTAGTTCTAGCCCCACTTAATAATTTGTAATATTTTCTTCCAGATATTACCTGTGCACATGCTAACATGTAATTATTATTGTAACATGTAAAATGGTTTAAATATATATAATTACTCTTAGTTGTTTTTATCTGTGCACATTCTAACATATATTTTTTTAACTAAAATGGGATCATAGACCATTTATTGTTTGCAAAGTGCTTTTTTATTCATTTAACAGAATCTTGCAATATTTTTCCATGTCCTAACATGGTGATCTACTATATTCTTTTTATTATTATTTTTTTAAATTTAGTTGTCTTTACTTACACGTGAGGCACATGAATACAACCTTAGGATGAACATTTTCAGCAGTATAAAAGTATAAATATTGCAAAACAAATATGCCCTTTTGTTTCACCTCCCCAGGGAGAACTATCAGATTCACTCTGGTATTTGCATCCTTCCAGGCTTTTCTCCACACATTTACATAAACACATATTACATTTATATTAGGTCGAGTACTGTAAGATTGCTGTTTTTGTAGGTCAAAAATGGTTGAGAAACAGCAATTTTGTTTAGTTCACCTCATGGGTTTTTTTCATGTATTTTTTTATTGGAGTTCGATTTGCCAACATATAGTATAACACCCAGTGCTCATCTCACCAAGTGTCCCCCTCAGTGCCCATCACCCAGTCACCCCATCCCCATCCCCACCTCCCCTTCCACTACCTTTTGTTCGTTTCCCAGAGTTCGGAGTCTCTCATGTTCTGTCTCCCTTTCTGATATTTTCACTCATTTTCTCTCCTTTCCCCTTTAATCCCTTTCACTATTTTTTATATTCCCCAAATGAATGAGACCATATAATGTTTGTCCTTCTCCAACTGACTTATTTCACTCAGCCTAATACCCTCCAGTTCCATCCATGTCGAAGCAAATGGTGGGTATTTGTCGTTTCTAATGGCTGAGGAATATTCCATTGTATCCATAAACCACATCTTCTTTATCCATTCATCTTTCAATGGACACCAAGGCTCCTTCCACAGTTTGGCTATTGTGGACATTGCTGCTATAAACATCGGGGTGCAGGTGTCCCGGCGTTTCACTGCATCTGTATCTTTGTGGTAAATCCCCAAGTTCACCTCATATGTAGTCAGACTTGTGTCTATGCATTCTTTAATGCAAATGGAATCATACTCTACATATTGTTCTGCACTTTGCTTCCCACCCCCCACTTTATGTATCTTGGGGTCCTTTCTTGCGAATGCACATGAATCTACCTCCTAATTTTTTTAACTACTCAATCTGCAGCACAGATGTGGTATTATTAAACCATGTCCCTGTTTGAGGGATATCTTCTTCCTTCATTTCTTCCTTTTGTTTCTTTCTTTCCTTTTCTCCTTCCCTTTTTCCTTCCTTTTTTCCTTCCTTCCTTCCTTCCTTCCTTCCTTCCTTCCTTCCTTCCTTCCTTCTTTCTTTTCTTTTCTTTCTTTCTTTCTTTCTTTCTTTCTTTCTTTCTTTCTTTCTTTCTTTCTTCTTTCTTCTTCTTTCTTTCTTCTTCTTTCTTTTCCTTCCTTCCTTCCTTCCTTCCTTCCTTCCTTCCTTCCTTCCTTCCTCTCTCTTTCTTTCTATTGTGGCTTTTTGCACTTGAGCTCACCCTGTACAAGTGAGCATCTGTGCATGCTCCCTGGTGTACAGATGTTGGCACTTTTAGGGTATATCCTGAGAGGTGGAACTGCTGGGTCACAGACATGATTTACTGGGTATTGCCAAACTGTCCTCTGCAGAAGCTGAGCCAGTTTACTACCATGGCAATCTTTTACAGAGGAAGTGGCCATGCTTTTGGATTTGATGTTCCTTTTGGAGGCCCCCAATTCCTACCTACCACAGGGAGGTGGAGGGAAGTGGGAAATGCGAGTTCAAGGCTGGAGAAGGAATCCCCATGTGGGGTGGTAGAAATAGCACTGGTGGCCTGGAATCCAGTTTCTGCCTTTGTCAAATGGGGTGATAACCCAGCCACACCCACCCTGAGATGCTTGTGAGGCTAGAGTGAGCCCAGGAGGTGGTTCCCAGTCTCACTGACTGGACTCTCTTTCCTGCAGCTGTGCAGACCTGGACGAGAAGGGCTGTCCCGCCGAGCAGAGAGCCAGGTCAGCCCAATTCCTGGGACATACACTATGCTGCCCCACTGTCTCCTACTAGCCCCTGCGTGGTCACTGCTGCGGGATGGGCTGGAGGGTGGTCTCCTGACATGACATATCTCCCTGCCCAGCCTAGTCTTCCACTATTGAATCACCTTTCAGTTTCCTTCAACTAGTGGATGGAGGACCTCCTTAGGATGCTTAGGAGGTGGGGAACAGGAAAAGATGGTGAAGAAGACTCCCCAGTGCCTCCCCACCCTTGAGTAGCTAGATGTCTTATAAGGGACACAGACAACATTCAATCCCCTGGGACAAAAGGTAGATTGAGAAGAGAGGGCAGCACTGAAGTGGAGTGAATGATGAAGTTTTAAGTGGGTGGTGGGAAGCTTCAAGGAAGAGGTAGCATTTGAGCCAGGCCTTGAAACGGGCAGGTAGGTCACTTGCATTAGGGAGAAAGTAACCAGGTGGCAAATTGGGGGATGGATCAGGAAAATCTAGGATGTTTTTGTTCGATGGTTCTGGCGTGGTGGGCCACTGAGGGAGCACAGAGAAGGGAGCAAGGGGGTGAAGTCTTGAGTCAGGTTAGGGCATAGGCCCTCCCTTGCCACTGGGCCGCAGGGTTAGACTTGCTTTCTGGGCAGTAGGGAACTTTGGGAAAGACTCTGGGGGAAAAAAGAGATTGGAGTATGTCCTAGGCAATTGTCCACGAAACAAGCATTCATGAGAGATCTGTGATGGGCCAGGCTTTGGCCAAGCAAGGACGGAGATGTCGGGTCAACACACAGGAGCTTCATCTATCCCAGGATGAGCTGAGTCTTGAATGATGACCCCATGGAGAAATGGCAATCCAGGCAGAAGTAGCAGAATGCACCAAGGCTGGGAGGTGTGGAAAATCATGACTTATGGGTGAAAAATTTTGCTCAAACATAGGGGGCACATTCCTGGGCCCCAACCCACTCCACAGTCAGAGTTGCCAGGAGTGGGGCTCCAGACTCCTGTATATTAACCAGCTCTCCAGTGATTTTTGTCAGGAAGTTTCAGAGTCCTGGGCTAGAGCCATGGGCAGGCACATAGGTGGTTGGAGCCAAGGGAGGTTTTTGAGTAAGGAAGAGAGGATGGAGCTTACGGGTTAACCCTTCCAACTTCCCTTCTTTTAAAAAAAAAAAAAAAAGATTTTTATTTGAGAGAGAGAGAAGGAGCAAGGGAAGGGCAGAGGGACAAGCAGATTCCCTGCTGAGCTTGGAGCAGGACAGGGGGCTTCATCCCAGGACCCTGAGATCATGACCCAGGCGCCTCCCCCAACCCAGCCCCGCCAACTTCTTTCTAAACACCAGTGACCTGTGGGGCATCTGGGTGGCTCAGTCAGTTAAGCATCTGCCTTCACCTTGGATAGTGATCCCTGGATCTTGAGATCAAGCCCCTCGTGGGGCTCCCTGCTCAGCGGGGAATCTGCTTCTCTCTTTCCCTCTGCCTCTCCCCCCTGCTCATTGTCTCTCTGTCTCATATGAGTAAATAAAAATTAAAAATAAAATAAAATTACAAAACACCAGGGACCTGCCTATCCGTCCATGGGGCCCCTCCATCCCTTCATGCCCAGCCTGGTCCCCCCACTCCCTAATCCTGGCTCCCTCCCCCAGCCCTGTGACATCCATCATTGCCGCTGTGGTGGGCATTCTGCTGGCTGTGGTCGTGGGGCTGGTCCTCGGCATCCTGATCAAGCGAAGGCGGCAGAAGATCCGGAAGTACACTATGCGGAGGCTGCTGCAGGAAACCGAGGTGAGGCCGTCAGAGGGCCTCCCTGTTGTCCTGGGGCGGGGTGTGGGGGGGTGCCTGTGGCTCAGCCTCTGTTACTGAGGCACCACCCCATCACCACAGCTGGTGGAGCCGCTGACGCCTAGTGGAGCGATGCCCAACCAGGCTCAGATGCGGATCCTGAAAGAGACAGAGCTGAGGAAGGTGAAGGTGCTTGGATCTGGAGCTTTTGGCACAGTCTACAAGGTTAGGTGTGGGGCCAAAGATCCGGGGTGGGTGGTCCCAGAGGATGCGTGGGGTGTGGCCAAGCGTTCTGCGGGGAGGGCAGCCTGGAACCGGGTGGGGGTAGTACTGTTGGGGTGGGGAGGTAGTGCTCTTGGGTTATGGTCAGTTTGGTGGGAGAGTGGAACCAGAGGAAAGGGAGTGGAGAGCAGCGCTCCCTAGTGAGGCCAGTGCTAAATAGTGGGGTTGTCCCCAAGGTGGGGAGGGCATTCAGAGCACAAGTAAGGACCTCCTAGATGACTACAGGTTGGATCTGGTGTCCCCTCTTCCTGCTCACGGCCTCCTGTCTGCCCAGGGCATCTGGATCCCTGATGGGGAAAATGTGAAAATCCCAGTGGCCATCAAAGTGTTGAGGGAAAACACATCTCCCAAAGCCAACAAAGAAATCTTGGACGTAAGCCCCTCCAGCTTGGGGTATGGGAGGGACCTCTGGGCTGCAGGTCTGGGCTCTGGTCTCTCTCTTCACTGGGGTTTGGGAGACACTTGGTGATTCCCCAAACCTCAACTCTTAAGCTTCTACCTGTGGGCCATGGTTCTGGTTTGTGACCGATGGGGCTGGATTGAGTGAGAGTCCCTAGCGGCGTCTCAGCCCTCAGGACGGGTGTGTGGTGGTTCTGGTCCCCCACACCCTCTCAGTGCCTACCCTTGCCTCCAGGAAGCATATGTCATGGCTGGAGTGGGCTCCCCGTATGTGTCCCGCCTCCTGGGCATCTGCCTGACATCCACGGTGCAGCTGGTGACACAGCTTATGCCCTACGGCTGCCTCTTAGACCATGTCCGAGAACACCGTGGGCGCCTGGGCTCCCAGGACTTGCTGAACTGGTGTGTGCAGATTGCCAAGGTATGCGCTTCGGGGGCCTGGGGTCTGCAGGTGTCTTTGGGGGCAAGCTGCTGTCTCCACATGGGGCTAGGCTGGGGAGGTTTTCTGGGGGAATGTGGCCAGACTGAGGTCCACATCGATGTCTCTGATCCCAGGGGATGAGCTACTTGGAGGATGTCCGGCTGGTGCACAGGGACCTGGCTGCCCGGAATGTGCTGGTCAAGAGTCCCAACCATGTCAAGATTACAGATTTCGGGCTGGCTCGGTTGCTGGACATTGATGAGACAGAGTACCACGCAGATGGGGGCAAGGTTAGAGGAGGGAGCAGAGTGAGGCAAGGTGGGATGGGGTCGGGTCTGGCCCCTGGGAGAGCTCTAACTAGGGGCAACCATCTCCCCACCACACTGAGTTTGAGGAATTCTTTGCTCTCCCCAGGTGCCCATCAAGTGGATGGCACTGGAGTCCATTCTCCGCCGGCGGTTCACCCACCAGAGTGATGTGTGGAGCTATGGTGTGTGGCGGGGGGGTTGGGAGGAGGGGTGGACACATAGCCATGGCCCTGGGAGGCATGTTGGTGGAAGGAAGAGAGCAGGAGTGGGAGAATGAATGGAGAGATCTTAGCATGAATGTGGGAGGGAAGGAAGGGGCTCCCAGGGTCCATGCACTTCCCTGGGACTACGGAAAGGCTGGGTAGCTCCTGCCCTGTGACATCACACCCCTCCCTTCCCTCGTGGTGCCAGACCCTTGGGCAGAGACTCTAGGGCTCAGTGCACGAAAGTGCCCTCTTGTCCCCCAACCTCTTAACCTCATCTCTGCCCCAGGTGTGACTGTGTGGGAACTGATGACTTTTGGGGCCAAACCTTACGATGGGATCCCAGCCCGGGAGATCCCTGACCTGCTGGAGAAGGGGGAACGGCTGCCCCAGCCCCCCATCTGCACCATTGATGTCTACATGATCATGGTCAAGTGTGCGTGGCTGAGCTGTGTCGGTTGCCTGGAGGAGGGATGGGAGGTTCTGGGTGGAGGGGCCTCTAAGGGGTGTGGGAGGGGACCAAGAGCAGGATGTATGTGGGTCCAGGGTCCCTGCTATGGTTAAAGGAGCCTTAGAAGGGTCTTGCTTCCCTTTTACTGTACCAGCCCAGAGGAGCTCCAGAAGACCAGCTAGGAAAAGACTTCTATGCAAAATAAAAAGGGGAAACTAGTAATGATTCTCAAAGGATCTAGCTCAGGACCTGAATCTGATACCTCTTCTCTACCAGCAAGGGCTTGGACTCTAATAATGGGGGTTGTCTAGACCAGACTGGAAAGGGAAGGAGTGGGGCTGCCTGTGGGATGCAGCCAGAACTGACATACTGGGATTCCCTCCTGCCCCCAGGCTGGATGATAGACTCTGAATGCCGACCCCGGTTCCGGGAGTTGGTGGCCGAATTCTCGCGTATGGCCAGGGACCCCCAGCGCTTTGTGGTCATTCAGGTACGGGGCCTTCCCTGCCCCATCCCTGCCCGTGACTAGAGAGCACCCTCCCATAGAGGGTGTGGAGGGAGAGGACTCAGGTCCCAGGCCTCCCAGCCCAGACCTTGGGCTCCCATCCCTTGTCCTCCCTGAACGTTCCTTGGGAGGCTGTGCACTGGGCAGGGGCGAGGCTGTCACACTGTCTCCCTCGTCCTCAGAATGAAGACTTGGGCCCCGCCAGCCCCTTGGACAGCACCTTCTACCGTTCACTACTGGAAGATGATGACATGGGGGACCTGGTGGATGCTGAGGAGTACCTGGTACCCCAGCAGGGTTTCTTCTGCCCAGAACCTACCCCAGGGGCTGGGGGCACTGCCCACCGCCGGCACCGCAGCTCATCCACCAGGGTCAGTGTCTTCTGTCATACTGAGGTGGGTGGATGTGGTTACCTGCCCCAGGGACTAGGGTCCTTCTCCTGTGTCATCCCTCCCCCAGCAATCACCTCTCATGGCTCATGGAGACCCCTATATCCCTGAGGACTCCTACTGCATTCTCACCCTTGACCTCTTTCCACGGTGACTGTGTCAAATCCCAATGATGACCTGTTTATCTCCTCTGAGTCTTTATCCCATGGGAGAGCCCACGGAGTCTCTATCCCAGATCCAGGAGAGACCCCATCACACTCTTTCCCATGGAATCTCTATCCCAGATCCAGACCATCACAACCTTTTCTCATCTCCAGAGTGGCGGTGGTGAGCTGACTCTAGGACTGGAGCCCTCCGAGGAGGAGCCCCCCAAGTCTCCACTGGCACCCTCAGAGGGCGCTGGCTCTGACGTGTTTGATGGTGACTTGGGAATGGGGGCAGCCAAGGGGCTGCAGAGCCTTCCCTCACAGGACCCCAGCCCTCTCCAGCGATACAGTGAGGACCCTACGGTACCCTTACCCCCTGAGACTGATGGCTACGTCGCCCCCCTGACCTGCAGCCCCCAGCCTGGTATGGAATTCAGGCCCATGCTGAAAGATTGGGAGGGTGGGGAGTTGGGCGTGTGGGGGCAGTGACAATAGTTGGGACACATGGATTCATTCCCCTAACAAGCCCCTCTTCTTGCCCTTTCAGAATATGTGAACCAGCCAGAAGTTTGGCCGCAGCCCCACTCGCCCCTAGAAGGCCCTCTGCCTCCTTCCCGACCGGCTGGTGCCACTCTGGAAAGGCCCAAGACTCTGTCCCCCAAGACTCTCTCCCCTGGCAAGAATGGGGTTGTCAAAGACGTTTTTGCCTTTGGGAGTGCTGTGGAGAACCCGGAGTACCTGGCACCCCGGGGCAGAGCTGCCCCTCAGCCCCACCCTCCTCCAGCCTTCAGCCCAGCCTTTGACAACCTGTATTACTGGGACCAGGATCCATCAGAACGGGGCTCTCCACCCAGCACCTTTGAAGGGACCCCTACAGCAGAGAACCCGGAGTATCTGGGGCTGGACGTGCCAGTGTGAGCCCAGAGGCCAAGTCGGCCGAGGCCCTGCTGAACCTCCAGGGAGTGAGGCCAAGTCGGCCGAGGCCCTGCTGAACCTCCAGGGAGTGGGGAAGGCCTGACTACTGGCCTGTATCGGGATGAGGCAGGAAATGGGTCCTTGGCCCACATCCAGGGGATCCTGCCACACCGGAACCTACCTTCCCCCTCCAAAATCCAGGTGGCCAAGAGGGGCCCAGCCTGGTTGGTAGAAGGGACAGCACTGGGGAGTCTTGACTGACTTTGGAGCCCTGCCCCAGCCAATTCTAGGGTTCCACGGATGCCACCGCCAGTCTCCTCACCTGCGGGAGCAGCTGTACCTGGTTTTCTTATTCCAGATCTTTGACACAGAAGGACTTAGAGGAGCTGGGCCCTGGGGGGAGGAGGCTCCAAGGGAGTGAGTGCCTTAGAACAAGATCACCCATTCAGAGACTGTCCCTGAGGCCCTGAGACCTAGCTCTGCACCCAGGAAGACGGGAGCAGCAAAGCTACCCAGATCCAGCCCTTGTACAGAGTGCTTTTCTGGTTTTGTTTTTACTTTTTTTTTTTTTAAGATGAAATAAGGATTCGGGGAGAGTGGGTACTGTGGAGGGGGGTGGGCTCCCGGTGTTGGGGGAAGAGTGTCCTTTCTACACACCCACTTTCTCCATTTGCAAATATATTTTGGAAAACAGCTGGGTACCAGCCTAAGTCTGGGGTGGCTCTGTGCCAACCTTACCGCTCACCTCCTAACTTACAGTCAAGTCAAATTTTCCTGGAAGGGATGGTTAAGAATAGAGAAAGCTTGAATGAGGAGCCTATTCTTCCAGTTTCCTGGCTTTGGGGTTGGGGGGGAAATCTTTGAGTTGGGATTCTGATCTGAGAGCCCTCTGACAACCAGATCATTCTAGTTAAGAAAAAATGAATTCCTAAGGCCACTCTTAGGGGGAGGGGAAAGGAGAGGCAGTGTCTACTGTGTGACTCATTTTCCTTGCTTTGGCTTTGAAAGAGCTGACTGAACCAGAATAACTATCCAGAAAAAGCCCACCCACCCAGCATAGCCACCCTGGTGGTATAAAGGCTGGGCTGGCCTCTGTGCAACCAACCCTTCCCCCCCACACACACACTGAACATAAAAATACACACTAGTTTGGCACAGGTGTTTGTAGTGCCACTTTATTGCCAATTGCTGACATTGTCCAGGGCTAGTGGAAAGGAGGTTAGAACCCTGGTGGCATCTGATCAGTACAGCTAAGCTGGAGCAGGGAGCAGACTTTCTTGGGCACTGATCCAGGGAAGGGGGTATAAGGCGGCTGTGGAAATGTCCATGGAGGTCTCTCTCTCCCACCCCCAAGACCACAGCAGCTTCTATTCCATCCTGGTACCCAAAGGGACAAAGTGGAGGCCAGAGTCTCTTAGCTTACTGGGACCCAAGTGAGGGGAAAAAGGCAGTGGGGGGCCCTCAGCAGGACCAAAGGGGAGACCGAGGCTTGGGCCCCAGAACAGAGCAGGAACCCAGAATCCCATGTCATTACAGGATGACGCAGGGAGGACGGCTGTTTGTGATCTTCTCTAGGGGTTCTCCGTTACTGGCTCTTCGGATGGCCTCAATGAGCTAGAGGGCAGATATGTGGAATGGCATGATCCAACCCTGGCAGGGGCCGGGTGCACCGGGGGCCTCCCGACATTGTAAATACTTACATCTTTCTCATAAGGAAAGCCCCCGTTCTCCAGCTTGGAGAACACCAGCTGTCCATTGATTTCAATCTCAAAGGCCCCTGGTATTAAATAAATAAATCAATGAGCGAACTGTATGCTGAGAACAGGCAAATCAGGAGAGGCTCTCCTATTCTTTAGACTTCGCACAGGCTCCTTCGTGTCCCCACCGGCCCCACCAGAGACTAGTTCTCTGAGCCATTTCTCAACCCTGACTCGAGGCTAAAGGAACCCCAGGGAGGCGTTACCTGTGTGTCCTTTGGACTCAGGCTTCCTAACTCCGGGAAGGGATCCGTCTCCTCCAACCCTACATTTCTGCAGTCTGACCCGTCTTTCCCTACAGGCTTCATCTGTGCCCCCCCCCACCCCCCACCTTTGGAAAGGGGGCGAGTTGGCTGGACATTTTACTATGTGCCGGACACTGTAAGACAGACAGCCAATTCCAGGGCTAGAAAAGTGGTAGAGTTGAGATTTTTGAACACTGACTCAGCAGGTGTTCTGCGGGCCTCACCTGTGCCCCCCAGGCGCGACTCGATCTCAATGCCAGGATACTGCTCCTTCACGGCACTCGCCAGCTCCAGGTAGGTCGCCTCAAATCCGCAGGGTTCACTAGGAACAAGATGCTTGGGGGTCTGCTTGGGTTTCGGGGGAGGGGCCTCCCGTGGACCCACCCGGTTCAGTCCAGACACCCCACAGGCTGGAGACGCTCACCAGTACTCCACCACGATGCGCACCCCACTACCCGGCTCAATCTCCCCGGGAGGGGGCGCTTCAGACGTCGGCCCCGGCTCCCCGCTCATTGCTCCGGACTCCGCTTCAGCCGCTGCTTCCGGGTGTGACGCGACGCCGCGAGCACGTGACGGGGCGGGGCCGCGGGAGGGGGCGGGCCGAGCGTTACGTCCGGGCGCCCCCTGCAGGCCACGACTGCCGCTGCACTTTTTACTCTGTGCCCAGTTTGAGGGCTCTGGGCTGAGCGGGGCGGTCCGGGCCGCCTTACCTGGACTGCGTTCTCAGAGCGCCGGGCTTGCCTCGCACCTCGGGTCCGCTGGATGTCACGGCCATATATACGCTCGTGAAATATTTTAGGTTGCAAAGCGCCCTCCAGTTTACAAAAGGAAGCGAAAATGATGGGGTAAGCGGATCCAGGGCCTGGGCTTGGCTGATGGTGTGGAATAGTCGCCGTTTCTTGCTAACATGCTGATGGCGTTTTAACCACCCCATCGGTCAACACTCAAGTACCTCTGACTCTTCGGCTCCGAAGCTGTAGGCATAACTGGGGGCAGTGACTGTCTCTCCCCTGCATTCAGGAACCTTAGGCTTTGGGGCTCCCACTCCTCAGGCTCTACACCCCCATCACACTGTTCCTGCACCTTCCCTACCTCATCCTGACCTGCACTGGCATTAGTATCTTTTGCAACTCTGAAGGAGGCTCTCTTGCTACCTTTTTCCTCCCTGGAGTTACACCGTCACATCCTAACAGGTCATCTGCGTTACCATTTCTTCGAATCCTGCATTTTGAGGGCGCAGTCAGTTACAGCGACTGACTTTTGCTTGCATTTCAAGTGGTGATCTCAGGGTCGTGAAATTGAGCCCTGCATCAGGGCTTGAGCTCAAAGCAGCATCTGCTTAAGACTCTCTTTCTCCCTCTGCCCCTCCCCACCTTAAGTAAATAATTTTTTATTTTTATTTTTTAAAGGTTTTATTTATTTATTCATTCATGAGAGACACAGAGAGAGAGACAGAGACACAGGCAGACGGAGAAGCAGGCTCCATGCAGGGAGCCTGTCGGGGGACTCGATTCCAAGTCTCCAGGATCCTGGGTCTCCAGGATCACACCCTGGGCGGAAGGCAGCACTAAACCGCTGAGCCACCTGGGCTGCCCAATTTTTAAAAAGATTTTATTTATTTATTCATGAGAGACAGAGAGAGAGAGGCAAAGACATAGGCAGAGGGAGAAACAGGCTCCTTGCAGGGAGAATGATGCAGGACTCAGGACTCCATGGATCCCAGGACTCCAGGATCATGCACTGAGCCATCCAGGCATCCCAATAAATAAATCTTAAAAAAAAAAAAGGTACATTTTTAAACAGATTCAGTGATTGATGTGCCACCATCACTACAATCCAGTTACAGAAACTTTCCATGAATTTCAGAAGGTCCCTCCTGCTTGTTTGCAGCCCAGCTCCCAGCTCTAGCCCTAGACAACCATCTATCTGCTTTCTGTCTATAAATTTGCCTTTTCTGGGCATTTCTTATAAATGATATGTGGTCTTTTCCTTCTGGCTTTTTTCATTCAGAATAAAGCTTTTGAGGTTCGTCCATGCTGTAGCATGTTCTGGTAGTTTGCTCCTTTTTGCTGCTGAGCAGTATCCCATTGTATAGATATACCACATTTTGTTAATCTAGTCAATACCAGTTGATAGTCAGTTGTTTACAGTTTTTAGCTATTTTGAATAAGGCTGCTATGAATGTTCATGTGTCTTTGTACCTGTGTTGTAATTTCTCTAGGAGTAGAATTGCTAGGTTGCATGGTAAGTTTAACTTTTTGAGAACTGACCAAACTGTTACTCCAAAATGCCCCTACCATTTTACATTCCCATCAGCAGTATATGAGGATTTGTTTACCCATATCCTTGTCAACATTTATTGTCTGTCTCTGATTATAGCTATCTGGTGGGTGTGAGGTGGTATATCATCACCATAGTTTTAATTTGCATTTATCTAATGACTACTGATGTTGAGCACCTTTTCATATGCTTATTAGCCATCCATCTCTCTTGTTTAGAAAAACATCTATTCAAATCTTTTGCCTTGGTCCTCGTGTGGCTCAGTGGTTTAGCGCCGCCTTCAGCCCAGGGAGTGATCCTGGAGACCTGGGATCGAGTCCCACGTTGGGCTCCCTGCATGGAGCCTGCTTCTCCCTCTGCCTGTGTCTCTGCCTCTCTCTCTCATGAGTAAATAAAATAAAATCTTTAAAAAAATCTTTTGCCTTTTTTAAAAGGAGATTTTATTTATTCATTTGACAGAAAGCTAGAGAACACAAGCAGAGGGAGCTACAGAGGGAGAGGGAGAAGCAGGTTCCCCGCTGAGCACGGAAGCTGGAACACCTACGGGCTTGATCCCAGGTCTCTGGGATCATGACCTGAGTCGAGGGCAGAGGCTTAACCAAATTAACCACCCAGGCACCCCACTTTGCCCATTTTTTATTTTATTTTATTATTTTATTTTTTTCTTTGCCCATTTTTAAAAAAGATTTATATATTTGGGAGAGAGAGTGTGGGCACGTGTGAGAGAGTGTGAACAGGGGGAGGGGCTAAGGATGAGGGAGAGAATCTCAAGCAGACTCCCCACGGAACACAGAGCCCACCTGGGGCTCCATCTCACGACCTTTGCACGCCTCCGGATCATGACCTGAACTGAAGCTAAGAGTCAGCCGCTCAACTGACTGAGCCTCCCAGGTGCCCCACTTTTGCCCATTCTTAATTGGTTTGTTTCTTTATTACTGATTTGTAAGAGTTCTTTATATATTCTGGATACAAAGTCCCTAAGCAGATATATGATTTCCAAATGTTTCCTCCCCATCTTTACCAAGTTTTTTTTTTTTTTTTTTTTTAAGATTTTATTTATCTATTCATGAGAGACACACAGAGAGAGAGGCAGAGACACAGGAGGCAGAGGGAGAAGTGGGATCCCTGCAGGGAGCCCGATGTGGGACTGGATCCCGGGACTCCAGGATCAAGCCCTGGGCCAAAGGCAGATGCTCAACCGCTGAGCTACCCAGGGATCCCCTTTAACAAGTTAGTGATGTCTTTTGAAAGTGCAAAAAATTTTAATTTTGATGACATCTAATTTGCTGAATTTTTTCTTTTGTCACTTGTGCTTTTGCTGTTGTATCCAAGATCTCTGCCTAACTTAGGTCACAAAGATTTTTTTCCCCTTGGTTTCTTCAGAAGTTTTAGTTTAGCTTTTACATTTAAGTCTATAATTTATCTTGAGTTAATCTTTGTAGATTGTGTGAGATAAGGATCTAAATTCATCTTCTGGAATGTGGATAGTTGATTGTCTCAGAACCATTTATTGAAAAGACTAATCTTTCTGCCACTGAATTGTCTTGGTATCGCTGTCAAAAATCAATTGACCAGAAATGTCAGGGTTTATATTTGGACTTTTGAATCTGTTCCATTGATCTGTAAACCTATTTGTTGTTGTTGTTTTCTTTAAAAATTTCAGATATAACATACAGACAATAGAATTGGCCCTCTTCAGTGTACCCATCTGTGAGTCCTACTTAACACACTGTTGTATATCTACCACCATGACCAAGGTACAGAACAGCTCTACTACCTTCTCACAAGTCCCTGTGCCCTTTGCTGTCAATTCCTATACTCCTCCCTGACCCTAGATCTGTTTGTTTTTTTTTTAAGATTTTATTTATTTGAGAGAGAGAGAAAGAGAGAGAGAGAGAATGAGGTGAGGGGCAGAGGGAGAGGGAGAAGCAGGCTCCCCACTGAACAGGGAGCCCCATGCAGGGCAAGATCCCAGGACCCTGGGATCATGACCTGAGCTCAAGGCAGATGCTTAATGAACTGAGCCACACAGGTGCTCCTGCTTTCTGTCTTTATAGTTCCACTCCCTTCATTAAAAAAAAGAGAAAGAAAGAAAGAAAAAAGGAAGAAAGAAAGAAAAGAAAGAAAGAAAGAAAGAAAGAAAGAAAGAAAGAAAGAAAGAGAAAAAATATTTTATTTATTTGAGAGAGAGCAGAGAATACAAGCAGGGAGTGGAGAGGGGGAGGGGGCAAAGGGAGAGGAAGAAACACTCCTCACTCAGGGGGGTAGTTCCACCCCTTTTAGAAAGCCATATAAATAGAATCCTATAGCACTCAGCCTTCTGAATCTGGCTTCCCTCTCTAACCCTATCCTTTAACATCTAGAGCGATCTTTTCAAAATAGAAATCCGCCTGCTTCTCTGTGCCTCTACTTAAGCCCAGAGAGACACCACAGGGTCTGGCCTCAGCTCATAGTTCCTGCCTGTCTGGACAGACAGGATGGATGGCTCTCAAACCTGGTTTAACCACCTGAGGGCTTGTCAATACCACACATTCCTGGGTCTGGGCCCCAGAGACTTGAGATTCAGTAGGTGGGGAGGGGCCCAGGGATCTGTTTTTTCTACAAGCCTAAGGAGATATGGCAGCAGGTGGTCATAGGCCACACTCAGAAACATGGCTAGTTCGAAGCACTTGCCTTTCTCCACACCTGCTTGAGTTTGCCTGTGTGGCCTCCTCTCCTTCCTCAACCCCACTCTGCCTCCCTCATGCCATGTCCCCTCCTGCTAAGGGCTTTGGCACTTGTTTCCTCATCATGAAAGGTACCCCCCTCCCCACATTCCCACCCACCCATCTTTACTTTCTCCCTATTCCAGTTTCCCCTCTGCTTGCTCCTCACTTCTACCAAGAAAGCTTTCCCACCTCTCTGGGTGAGTCATTCTCCCAGATACTTGTCACCTGTCATTTCTTATTTTTGTGTGATTTTTTTTTTCTTTTGAGAGAGAGGAAGGGCAGAAGGGGAGAGAGAATGAGAGACTCTGAAGCAGGCTCCACCACCCAGCAGGGAGCCTAACATGGGCTTGATCTCACAACCCTGAGATCATGACCTGAGCCAAAATCAAGAGTCCATCACTTAGCTGAGTGAGTCACCCAGGTGCTCCTCATGGGATTCTTTGATTAACATCAGTCTCCCCAACAGGGCTGCATGAGGATAATGGCAGGGTCGGTTTTTCCTGCTCCTATTTCTCTAGTACCAAGCATGGGGCTGGCATAAAGTAGGTACTTAACAAATATTATCGAATGAAGGAAGGAATAATTGAGTGCATTGTCTCCTGTGCTTTGCACAAGCTGCTCCTTGGCCCAAGTGACCTCACCCCTTCCCACTTTTTTTTTTAAAGATTTTATTTATTTATTATAATAAATAATAAATAAATACACACACACACACACACATACCAAGAGAGAGAGAGAGAGAGAGAGAGAGAGAGAGAGAGGCAGAGACACAGGCAGAGGGAGAAGCAGGCTCCATGCAGGGACCCCAATGTGGGACTCGATTCAGGGACACCAGGATCACTCCCTGAGCCGAAGGCAGGCACTCAACCGCTGAGCCACCCAGCTGTCCCCCCTCTCCCACTTCTTTGCTTGGTCCACTCATACTGGTTTTTCGAGGAAAACCCCATTTGGAGAAAGTGGAGGCTAAAGCCACTCCTTGACGATCCCCCAGGGCAGACCTCTTATCACCCTGAAGACTGTTTGTTTACCCACCTGTTACCCACTTCAGGTTGGGAGGTGGCCACTGCCTTGGATCTCTGGCCTTCCAGGCTTGACCCTTGGGTTTGCCTAATGTTGAAGCAGAGAGCTAAAGTGATCGCTCAAAGGGGAGTCTTCTGGCACCTGGCCAGATCTTTCCCCAGATCACTCCTCTCACCATAAGACCCTGCCGAACCCCTTCGATTTCAGATGAAGCTGAGACCCCTGGACTTTGCAAAGACCAGCAATCATACCCTGGGTGCCTCTGAGGGCCAGGGTGCAAGCTGGGTTGGTAGCACTGTGGCTGGCAGTCAAGGGGCAGACCCTGTTGCTGGACACCCTTCTGGCTGGCTTCCCTCTTTTGCTGAGTGTTCCTTGCCCCATAGGTGGGATCCAGAGGCGTAAGCAGCCCCCCTCGTGTGGCCTACGAGCAGACCCCATTTGGTGAGGAGCATGAGGAAGGATAAGTGCCTTATCCCCTCACCTTCCAGCTCCCAGTCCCTCCTTCCCACGTCACGAGGGCTCTAGATCTTTGCTCTTGAGGCTTCTCAGCTCCACTGTCTTCCCCGCCTCTCCCCTGGCACCTGCTGCCGGGCTGAGAAGGGCAAAAACAATCCCAGCCAGCGTCGAGTGTCAGGGAGTCCCCGCCCCTCCTCCTAGGGTTCCTCCTCCCATGCTTCTCCCCCAGGCCCCGCCCCCACCTGCCCAAGATAATTTTAGTCTCCTTGGGCCAGGAGCCTGGACACACAGGGCTCTCCCTCCCCCAACCCTCACTTCTACTCCAAAGTCGGGACACCCTCCTAGCACCTGTAGAGAAGAGGGAGTGGATTTGAAATCAAGCCCAGGTATCTGGGGTCCCTAGACAGAACCAGACTTCGGACCCCGTGTCCTGCTACTCCTCCTGGGGCTCCTCCAGGTAAGGTGACCAAGATCGGTCCCAGCCGACAGCCTGCCCCCACCCCCAGCCGCAACAGGGCCCCAGGCTGTGCCCGTGTCAGGGCCAGGGGCTGGCAGGTCGCCCAGGTGGGCGGACGGGCGGCCGCCTGGCTCCCCCTCCTGCCCCCCCCCGTGATGTCAGGCCAAGGGCGGGCGCAGGAGGGGGACAGGTAGTTAAGGGCCTGGCGTCTCCCTTCCTAAACCAGTGGCCCCAGCCAAGTGTTCCTACGTCCAGGGTCCAGGTAAGGACCCAAAGAGGGACACTTCATCTTGAGGGTGGGGGGCAGCGGCAGGTCCCGGAGTCGCTATGGAAAGATCCCGCCTCCTGCTGTGTTACTCGGGCCGCCTCGCTTCCTTTCTCCAGTCTCCCACATCCCGCCCCTACCTCACCATCTGCCCTGCCTCTCCCTGTTTTCGTTCCCTGTTCTCATTTCCTCCCCTTTGCCGGCCTCCCTCTGGCCCCCGGACCAAAAGCAGCTGATGGGGATGGGGAGGGAAGATCCGATCCTCTCCTCCGGGAGACGCCGCTTTCCCGCTGAAATTAGCCCCTCCCCACCTGCCCCGGAGGAGAGTTAGGAGCGGGGCCGAAGCCCGAGGGCTGCCCCGAGTCATTCCTTGCTCAGCCTCCTGCTACCCGTTTCCCAAGGCTCCGAAGACTGCCGTCTCCGCGGGGGTGGGAGGGTGGGGGGAGGGGGCGCCCCCAGTGAGGAGGGCAGCGGAGGAGAGGCATCCATCCTCTAAACTGCTAGAGCTCGGCCTCGGGATTGTTTGCCGGCTCAAAACACCGGCTCCCGCCCTAGGAAGGGAAGGTGGGGGCGGGGCAGGCCCGGGGGTCCCTCCTGGAGTCGGGATGAGGCTCGAAGGCCCCAAGGCTGGGGGGCCGCAGCGCCGGGGGGCCTAGGAAGGTGTGTGTGCGCGTGTGGGGGCGGGGGGCAGTGTTTGGAGAAAGCCCCGAGCCTCGGTCTCCCCGACACCCGAAGGGGATGGAGAATGCACCTGTCCGCCCTTGGCGGGCCTCCCCCCGCCCCCGCCAAGAATGGCCCTTCTGGGTGGGCGCGTCCTGGACTCTGCTCCCCCTCTCCCGCCCCCGGTCCTGCCGGGGAGCCCTCCGTGCAGGCCAGCGCCTGTAATGATTAACTCCGCAGACACAATCTAGCATTCTTCCCAAATTAAACTTTAAGAAAGCTCACCCCCCCTCCTTTTCTCATTGGGTGTTTTTTCCCCAGAGTGAGGGAGTGGGCGGGGCCTCGGGGCCCTGGGCCCTCCCCTCGGCTCCGGGTCACCTGGGGGTTTCCCGCCTCCTCGCTTGGGCCCTCCGGCACCCTCAGAACCCCGAAGGCTGAGCCCTCCCTCCCCACTATACCTCCCGCCGGGGGCGGGGCGTGGAGCGCTGGGCCACACGGGGGCTTCCCGCCACCTGCTGGTCCCCAGCCCAGGCCTCGGCCGCGCTGGCCCCTCCCCCTCCCGGTGAGCGACCGAGGTGGCCTTGTTTTCTCTGGGCCCTAATACTGGGCCCTGCCACCCGCCCTTGGGGCCCGCCAGGTGGGGCAGGATTCAGGAAGTAAACAAGGAGACTGCAGGCTGGGAGGGCGGGCCGGAGGGTGGGGCCGCAGCCGTGGGGCCGGACAGGCCGTTGGGGAAGCCTCTGTTTGGAGTTGTAGTGGGGGGGGGGGGGCTGATAGATTTGGGGGGTCGGTTTCTTCAACAGAAGCCGCTGGGCCTAGGGCCGCAGTTTGAAAGGTTCAGGTCTCTTGGGAGGGGGTCCCCGACCCTGACAGCTAGGATCTGGTTCTCTTTCCATCCCCCCATCTATTTGGTCCTGACCGCCCCATTCTCTTGCCTTAGAAGGGTCTGGAGGGCAAGGTGGAGGGATCAGGAGGCCAAACCCAAGTCTTCAGTGGCCCTCCAGCTCTCTAAGGCCAGACTCCCATCTAATGCTGATTTAAATCTACTCCGGTCACCTTGCCCAAACACTGCCCTGATTCCTCTTCCTTCTGGGATGGAGTGGGACCCTACTTTGGTCTCTGGCTTCCCTGCAGCCTCCCCCCGCCAACCCCCCCGTCTTCCTGGAGTGAAGTCATCAGGACTAGTTGCCAGAGGAGAGATGGGATGGGAATGGGGACATTGTGGCTTGTCCATATTCTGGTGTCTGTTGACGCTCACTGGTGGATGTGTCTTGCCCTTCCCCAAAGGACCCTGAGCCCCCTCCCTGCCACTCCCTCCTGGCCTTTCCTTGTCTGCCTGTCTGTGTCTGTCCTGTCAGGTGTCTTGCTCCTCCTGTACCTGTAGTACCCCGCTGGCCAGGACACCAGCAGAGTGTGTTAGGACCCTCATCCCTCAGGGTTGATGTAGATGAGTCTTCTGGGCCCCCTGAGTCCTGGGTGCCAGGGGTGGGGCAACGCAGCAGCAGAATGAAAACCTGGTAGGCCCCAGACGGGATAGGGAGCACTGCGTGGTTTCTTTGGGTGAGTGAGGGCATCACTGGGAGGTCGGCTCTAATCCAGATGGGCCTTTGAATCCAAGCCAGGCCTTTTTCTCTCCTTGGGAGAGGGGGCTCCTGGCTGGGTGGAGACTGAGGGACCCCAGGGCAGGTTGCAGGTCCCACCCAGACTGGAGGCAGGCCAAGGGTGGGGAGGAGAAGATGATGTCAGAGGAGCTGCGGGCCCCACATCTCCACCCCCCCACCTGTCCCTGCCCTGAGCCTCCCCCATTCCTCCCAGGCTGTCAAGGTTGGGGGCGGGAGGGGCCGGAGGTGGGTTGAGGCAGGGCTGTTTGTGTTTCTCCTAAGCCAGGAAGTCGTGCAGATGAGTCAAGGTTGAATAGAGAGCCCCAGGCAGTGCTGTCCCGCCCCACCCTGACTCACCTGTCCCCCAGATCCCCTCACTTCAGGGTCAGGGGCCTTAAGCACAGGACCCTGGAGGGTCATTGCCAGGTGCTGCAGGCTGCCTCAAGGCACTGGCCTAGGTCTCAGGTTCTCCCAGGTCCTCCCAGGTTCTAGCCCTGCCAGAGGGGTCTGTGCTGCCTCTGTCCCCAGTGGGCATCTTTGCCTCTGCTCTCCTGTCCTCACTTGTCCTCCTTTGCAGTACCTGTGGGTGCTAGGATGTGGGTGAGACTCTGGCCCTGCCCGGGAGTGCTGGGTGGCTCCAGACCAGTGGGTGGACAAAACAGGTGCGCCTCATTGGCACAGAGGCCAGTGCAGAGAGGGAGCCCTTCAGTCTGAAGGCGGAAAATCCAGGAAGGCTGCTCAGAGGAGGTGACTCTGGCATTGGGGCTTCAGGAAAGTTGGGCAGGAGGAGGAGTCTGGAGAGGGCACGCAAGGTTTAGGGGCTGCTGGGGCAAGGGTCCCCAGGCTAGTCCTGTCTGAGTCTGCCTCCTGCCCTCCTGGTTCCTGTCCTTTTCCACCTCCTTCTCCCCTTCTGGCCATCACTCAGCACTTGGGCAGGCGTTGCCACAACAGGCTCTGGCAACCAGATCTGGCAACAAAGCACTGGAAAAACCCAGGGCAAAGCCCAGAGGAGTGAGTGTCCCATGCTCGGGGCAAACTCAGAGACAGAGTCAGCCTCGACCGTATGTGGGTCATGGAGTCTGTTGCTGCTGCCCAGCTGGTATGTGCGGGGGGTACCCTCTTAGCTCTTCCCCTGAGCAATGTGGGGCCAACAGAAGAGCACTAGATTTGGAGTCAAAACACCAAAGTTCCACTCATTGACTCACTTGTGATGGGGGCAAGGATGCTTCCTTCTTAGGGACTTGATGTCCCCTTCTTGTAAATGGGCTCATGCTAACCTTCCCCAAGGGTTCCGGGGAAACTCCAGTTAGAGGGGGAGCAGTAAGGTGCTGTGTCAGCTCGGAGGGGTACCTTGACAGCGGTGTGAAGTCTGGAGGTCTGGGTCCACTTGGCCCTTCTCTGCAGGACAAGGGCACATGAGCAGTTGCTTTCAGTCGCCTCTTCTCCCTTAGATGTTATGGAGCTGGGTCTGTCTCCACCTCATCTCAGCAGCTCCCCAGAAGACCTGTACTTGGCTCCTGGGACCCCTCCTAGGACTCCCCCACCTCCCGATGCTCCTCTGCCTGGGGAAGTGAAGAGGTCCCAGCCTCTGCCCATTCCGACCAGCAGGTACAATGGGGTGATGGAGCTGAGGAGGGGCTGGTGGGGGGGGGCAGTCAGTGTTGGGTAAGTCAACAAATTCTCTCCCCATCCCCCACCTCGGCCACAGGAATCTTCTTCGAGAGGAGGAGCTGCGGTCAACCTCTCTGCCTTCCATCCCCAACCCCTTCCCTGAGCTCTGCAGTCCTCCTTCACAGACCCCCATTCTTGGGGGGTCCTCTGGTGCAAGGGGGCTGCTCCCTCGAGATGCCAGCTGCCCCCATGTGAGTTGTCTTGGGAGAGAGAAGGCAGGGATATGGGGGTGCTATGGGACTGAAGCGGGTAGGGTGCCCCCTCCCTGGAGGGGGGAGGGGAATTCAGTCAGGAGTCCCTGAGGATATAGCAGGCAGGGGAAGGGAAATAACCCCCCTTCACCCTTCCTCAAGTCACCTGCAATTCCTGGGGTGCAGGTAGTAAAGGTGTACAGCGAAGATGGGGCCTGCCGGTCTGTGGAGGTGGCGGCAGGTGCTACAGCCCGCTACGTGTGTGAAATGCTGGTGCAGCGAGCTCATGCCCTGAATGATGAAAACTGGGGGCTGGTGGAGTGCCACCCCCATCTAGCACTGGGTGAGTTGGGGTGCCAGGGGCTGTCTGGGCAGGGAGGCAATGCTTCACACTTTGGGCTAGGCAGGTGGCCCCCCTGGGAGGCCTGTCTGGTGTCCGCTGACCACTGCTTTCGGCCCTTGACTCCAGAGCGGGGCTTGGAGGACCATGAGTCCGTGGTGGAAGTGCAGGCTGCCTGGCCCATTGGGGGAGACAGCCGCTTTGTCTTCCGGAAGAACTTCGCTAAGTACGAACTGTTCAAGAGTTCTCCGGTGAGTGTGTGTGAAGGGCGTCTGGGCACTGGGACACCCGGGCCCCCAGCCTGGGCCCATCGTCCCTGACTCCTGACTCTTCCCCCCAGCACTCCCTGTTCCCAGAAAAGATGGTCTCCAGCTGTGTGGACGCACACACAGGCCTATCCCACGAAGACCTTATCCAGGTAAAGGGACACCCCCATTCCATGGCATATTCATGATTCCCCAGGATCGCCTATTGCTTTTTTGGTCCTCAAGCATTGTGCCTCCCTCTATGTGGTGGGGAGCCTCGCACAGTCCCAGGTGACTGGACAAGTCCCTCCTTCCTGGCTGAGTGTCAGTTTCTTGGTCTGTGAAATGGGACAATAAATGCATGTGGAGCACCTTCTCTTCTGAAGCTGTGTGTGTGTGTGTGTGTGTGTGTGTGTGTGTGTGTCTCCCTTGTCTCCCTCTTGGCCTCTCACCCTCTTCCTGCTCTCTTCTGGCCTTAGAACTTCCTGAATGCAGGCAGCTTCCCAGAGATCCAGGGCTTCCTGCAGCTTCGAGGGTCAGGACGGAAGCTTTGGAAACGCTTCTTCTGCTTCCTGCGCCGCTCTGGCCTCTATTACTCCACCAAGGGCACCTCCAAGGTGAGGTCTTGAGGGTTGACAGCCTCTGCCCCTAGGATATCCCCTTCCTGGTCCTTCTAGGAGGACCTCCTGTTGGAACTCCTGGATCTTTCTCCCCTTGGGACCTGAGACCCTCAGCTACTCCTCTTTCCCTCCTGACTCACCTACCCCAGGAAGGTAGTGGGAAAGCCAGGTGGAACCGAATTTGAGTCCTGGCTCTACTTCTATTTGCTGTGTGACCTGGGGCACTTCTCTGCTCCTCTCTGAAATCTCCTCACCTGGCTTATGGGGACAATAGTAAGGGGATAGGGTCTGCCTGTAACAAGTCCTGCCTACTTGTGCCACATAGGACCCGAGGCACCTGCAGTATGTAGCAGACGTGAATGAGTCCAACGTGTATGTGGTGACCGAGGGCCGCAAGCTCTATGGGATGCCCACAGACTTCGGCTTCTGTATCAAGGTAAAGACCATGGCTGGGCCTGGGAGGGAATGGCAGGTACTCAGGGCCCAGGATCCTACCTAGGGCTTCTGATCTCCATCTGGGATACCCAGATTCCTCTCCCTGCACCTTGCCCTGCCCCACAGAGGCAGGCACCTGGTCCTAATGGAAGATATGGGACCAGCCGGTTTCCTCTCCCTACAGCCGAATAAGCTTCGAAACGGCCATAAGGGGCTGCGGGTCTTCTGCAGTGAGGATGAGCAGAGCCGCACCTGCTGGTTAGCAGCATTCCGCCTCTTCAAGGTGGGACTCTGGGAGGGGCATGGGGGGCTGGCCCCACCCCCTGGGTCCTCTGGCATGAAGGAGGAATTATAAGTCTCCTCTCAGGAATGAGGGGGCATTGTAGCCTTGCTCTCTCAGTATGCCTGGTCCAAGGCCAGAGTCCTGGCTTTGACTCCAGAAAGCTCCTTATCCAAGGCAGAGATACAGTCTTGGTCTTGGGAAGTTCTGGCATATGGGGGTTTCACAGCAGTTCCTTGACCTCAGGCTCTCTTTCTCCCTCCACCTGCAGTATGGGGCGCAGCTGTATAAGAATTATCAGCAGGCACAGTCTCGCCACCTGCGTCCATCTTGTGTGGGCTCTCCACCTTTGGTGAGTGCACAGGGGCAGTAGCTGGGAGTGGGCACCCAGGCCCCATCCTGGGGATACATGGGCCCTGTTCTGACTCCTCCCCATCCTATGCCATCTACAGAGGAGTGTCTCTGATAACACCCTGGTGGCCATGGACTTCTCTGGCCATGCTGGGCGTGTCATTGAGAACCCCCGGGAAGCTCTGAGTGCAGCTCTGGAGGAGGCCCAGGCCTGGAGGGTGAGGGGCCTGCACCCATCTGCATGTTTGTACGGGGGACCTCCTCTCCATGTGGTTTGAAGGGGTGGGGGCTGAGGAAGAGGGAGAGAGAGAATCTTAGGCTCCCAGCCTGGGGCTCGATCTCATGACCCTGAGATTATGACCTGAGCCAAAATCAAGAGTCAGATGCTTAACTTGCTGAGCCCCCCAGGTGTGCCTCTCCAAGATGTGGGTTTCCATGGTATGGGAGAAAGAGAGGAGTAAGGCAGGTCCCCAGGTGTGGAAAGGGGCTCTATATTCTTGAGGTGCCAGGTAGCCCTCCAGTCATGTCCTGATTCCCTGTGTTCCCCATTGTTCTACAGAAGAACCATCGTCTCAGCCTGCCCACCCCAGGCTCTGGTACGAGCCTTAGTGCAGGTAGGTGAGCACCCAGCGTCTCCAGGGGTGGGGGCTGCCTTGGCTTCTCTGAGCATTCCTGGTAGGGGTGGCTAGTATGGGGGGGGGTCTCCTCCCCAGAGTGACCACCCTTCTGCCTCCCCCAATTCCAGCCATCCACCGCACCCAACCCTGGTTCCATGGACGCATTTCTCGAGAGGAGAGCCAGCGGCTCATTGGGCAGCAGGGCCTGGTGGACGGGTAAGGGGCCGGGCTGAGCAGGCCAACAGATCCAGAGATAGGAGACACCCTGTGTCAAGGTGGCAGCTGTGTGTCCTCGGGTAATGTTGCCCTGTCTCCCGGCAGCCTGTTCCTGGTCCGAGAGAGTCAAAGGAACCCACAGGGCTTTGTCCTCTCTTTGTGCCACCTGCAGAAGGTCAAGCATTATCTTATTCTCCCGGTGAGTAATCCCCGTCCTCCTCATCAAGAAGCTCTCCAGCCCCCACTGTGTCTGGGGTCTCTTGCTCTCTCTTTTGTCCCTGCATGACCATTGGGGACCTCAGTCCTCCGGCCTCTTCCTGACCTTCCATCCCCTGTGGCTCCCCCCAGAGTGAGGAGGAGGGCCGCCTATACTTCAGCATGGATGATGGCCAGACTCGCTTCACGGACCTGTTGCAGCTCGTGGAGTTCCACCAGCTGAACCGGGGCATCCTGCCGTGTTTGCTACGCCACTGCTGTACTCGTGTGGCCCTCTGACGGCATGTGTCTCAGCCCGTTCCAGGCTGGCCACTGGTCCTTGTGCTCATAAAGTGGACTTGGAGGGTACAGAAGGTACGGACAGGCCCATGAATAACTGGAGGGCAACTCTACTCCAGAGAGTTTTCTACTCAATCCTTTGCCTCCCTCAGGCAGAAAGTGCTCCCCCACCCCCAATCTCTCTCCTTAAGAAAAAGTACTTGGGGTGGCCCTCCCCTCCATGGAGCTCCTGGGCACTGCTCTGGGGCAGGGCATTATGGGAGTAATGGGGCAGCCCAGGTGGTCTTAAGCCCCACACTTTGTACAGACTGAGAGGCCAGTTGATCTGCTCTGTTTTATACTCGTTACAATAAAGACTATTTTTTGATACACCCATGAGTTCTGTCTGGCAAGAGCTGGCTAGCTGGGGTAGAGAAGGGGAGTGGGAGATGAGGGCACCAGGCCTTGGTGAATGTGTCAGGTAGGTCAGGGCCATGTATCCTCCAGCCTGGATGTTTCTTGAAGGCAGGGTGGTCTTGGTCACCTGAGAGTCTCCAGTGTCCAGCAGGGAGCCTGGCCCATAGTGGCTGCCCAGTAACTTCTTGTTTAATGAATGCCATGTTTAAGGGATTGTCATCCAGATGAGATCTCCTGACAGGGCCTAAAGCCACTCTAACAGGCCTGGGAGCAGGAGCTGAGTTCCACAGCAGGGGCCTTCTGCAAGTCCTGGCCCAACTGCTGGGATGAGTCCTGGAACCATGCTGTTATGCATCTACCATCCCCGGACACGTGGCCCACTACCTCTCCCAGGTCCCCATGACCTCCGTTGTCAACCCCACTCCCTCTTGCTTTCTACTTCTATAGTTTCCTCCCTTCAGAAAGCCATATAAATGGAACCCTAGGGGATCCCTGGGTGGCTCAGCAGTTTTCGTGCCTGCCTTTGGCCCAGGGCGCGATCCTGGAGTCCCGGGATCGAGTCCCACGTCTGGCTCCCGGCATGGAGCCTGCTTCTCCCTCTGCCTGTGTCTCTGCCTCTCTCTCTCTCTCTCTCTCTCTATCATAAATAAATAATAAAAAAAAAAAATCTTAAAAAAAACAACAACAAAAAAAAACAGAACCCTACAACACTCAGCCCTAGGAGTCTGGCTCCCTTCTCCAACCCATCTTCCAACATCCAGAGTGATCCTTCCAAAATAAAAGCCCAGATGGGCCCTGCAGGGTCTGGCCTCTCCCCACTGCCCATGCTGGTCTGTTTTTGTCTAAAGAGGTTTTAATCATAGGCAGCCTGGACAGCTCAGCGGTTTAGCATTGCCTTTAGCCCAGGGCATGATCCTGGAGACCCAGGATGGAGTCCCACATTGGGCTCCCTGCATGGAGCCTGCTTCTCCCTCTGCCTGTGTCTCTACCTCTCTGTCTCTCTGTTTCTCATGAGTAAATAAATAAAATCTTTAAAAAAAAAAGTTTTTAATCTAAGAATTTTACAGTTTTAGCTTAGGTGACAGAAGAGCTTTATAATAACTGTATCGGGGGGATCCCTGGATAGCTCAGCGGTTTAGTGCCTGCCTTCAGCCCAGGGTGTGGTCCTGGAGTTCGGGATCGAGTCCCACATCAGGCTCCCTGCGTGGAGCCTGCTTCTCCCTCTGCCTGTGTCTCTGCCTCTCTGCCTCTCTGCCTCTCTCTCTCTGTGTGTCTCTCATGAATAAATAAATAAAATCTTTAAAAAAAATAACTATCAAATTGACAATACCTGGATCTGCCATATGATCTTTAAATAATGAAGAGATAAACCCTCTCTCTAGACACGTGAACTCCAATGAGGCATTATTTCTGCCAAGAAATAAAACCTCAGTGTCATCCCTTGGATCTAGCTGCTAGTTTATTTATTTATTTATTTTTTTTTTTTATTTATTTATGATAGTCACAGAGAGAGAGAGAGGCAGAGACACAGGCAGAGGGAGGAGCAGGCTCCATGCACCGGGAGCCCGACGTGGGACTCGATCCCGGGTCTCCAGGATCGCGCCCTGGGCCAAAGGCAGGCGCCAAACCGCTGCGCCACACAGGGATCCCTCTAGCTGCTAGTTTATCGGAAGTACAGGGGACAGAGGAACATGTGAAATGACACATGCGTGGGGATACAATTACCCAGATCCAGACTAGGAAACTACAGAACAGATGACCCAGCTTCTTTGACAACAAAATTACGAGAAAAGATGAGGAATCTCTAGCTCTCAAGAAATTTAGATATATGTAATGTGCTGACTCATTTGATTCAAATCCAAACTACTAACTGTAAAAAATATTTATGAGCAATTGGGGGAAATTTGAGCACTGATGAGATATTCAATGATATTAAGGAATTATGGTTAACTTTTCAAGGGGTGATAAATGGTACTTGTGTGTGTAAGTCCTCACCTTTGACAGATTGATTCTGAAGTATTTATAGGTGAAATGATGTCTTAGCTTTGTTTTTAAAATAACCCCAAGGGAAAAAAAAAAAAAATAAAATAACCCCGAGGTTAGGGGAGAGAGTCTGAGCATGGTCATGGGTTGCTCATGAGTTGACAATGGTTGAAGCTGCGTAATGGGTATATAGGGATTCATTAAATTCTCTAAATTTGTGTAAGCTTGAAAATGCTATAGTAAAAAAAAATTTTTTTTTTTAATGGAGAACCTCTCCCCAAATCTTTGGGATTGGGCACAAGGTAGTGGGATCCTGTTTGTCAGTGAGAAAACATGGTTCAGTGAGACCTGGCCCAAACTACAGTTAGCGGGAGAGCCAAGATTTCAACCTAGGTCTGAATACAGGTCTGGGCTGTTCTGCTACCCCTACCTGGCTGGCTTCCAGGTGGAATTCCTAAGTGGCCTGTGGGGGTGGGGTGGAGTGGGTGGGGTGATGGGATGGAGGGGTGTGGGGTGTGGGTGTCTTCCCCTGAAGAGCCCCTCCCTTCTCTGCAGCCCTGGTTTCTGGCTTGGGGGTTGTCCTGAGGTGAACTTGAGAAGGACCAGCCACATTAGCCAGTCTTTGAGCCAGGCTTGTCACTCCCAACCTTGGGGCTGGGGAGCCAGGCCTGTCAGACACAGGTGGGCCGAGAGCCTCATCCATCTTCCAGCTAAGAACTGTCTGGGTATTTACCCTGAAAAAAATTACTGCAGCCAGGCATGAGAGGGGTGCAGATTTTGTTTCTTAAGCAGGACTTGAGGAAGCAGGGACCAGAGCAACCTGCTGCCTGCCACTTGCCATGGTTTCCAGAGCCATCCTATCACTGACTTCTCCTGGGGCCTGAGTGGACTGGTGCTGACAGTGTGACTGGCCAGGGATGCCCAGGGCCATTTCTACGGTGTGGGTACTAGGGGTCCATGATGGGGTGGGAGTAAAGGGGCCAGAATGACTCACATCTTAAGCATGTCCAGGGATTTGGGCTGTTAAAAAACAGGACCCAGTGTCTCTTAATAGCCTGAGGTTATTATGATATACAAGGACAATGCCTTGTCAATCAGCTAATCAGAATATGTGGGACAGATACCACTTTCACTTTACAAACAGGAAACTGAGGCTCAAAGAGACTGATCCACCTGAGGTCCTATATGGAGTTGGAGACAGAGATCAGACTGGGCCCAGCTAGTAGGTGGTAGAACATAGCCCTTCTTTGCCCTTTGTTCTCTGGCCCATCTGTTCTTAGTGGTGGTTATTATGAAGGGCCTGGGCCTTTGAGGACCCTTTGAGGTGGCAGCTGGCTTGACCCTGAGCTGGATAATGGACATCAGCAGATGAACATCCTTGCTGGATAGCTGAGATCTCTGGCTTCTTGGAGGAAAGGCAGGAGCTGAGAATGTGGACACAGGGGCCCCTCAAGATCAGCTTGCGGGCAGACCCAGGGCAAGATTCCCCCACTCTCTAGACATGGGAAAGCTGCTGTTTTACTGCCAAAGAGGCTGAAGCATGATCCACAGAGGCCAGACAACAGAGGGGACTTCCAAGGATGGCTGCAGCATGTGTGGCCAGTAGAGGCTTATGGTTATGATGAAATTTGGGCTACTGGGAGGGAGGCAGGGGCATTGTGGAGAAGGTAGAGGCTGGCACCTAACATACTATCTTTTCAGTATCAAGTTATTGGATTTGATTTTAAAAAGTATACAGGCTTTTTTGTTTTTGTTTTTAAAGATTTTATTTATTTGAGAGAGAGAGAGAGAGCAGGAGGAGGGGCAGAGGGAGAGGCAGGGAACTCAGTGCTGAGAACTCAGAGCCTGATGCAGGGCTGTCTCACGACATTGAGATCATGACCTGAGCCGAAATCAAGAGTCAGCCACTTAACCGACTGAGCAACCCAGGTGCCCCAAAAGTATATGTGCTTATTAAAGAACATTTCAGAAATCAGAAGAAGACTTTGGAAAAGAAAAAAGAAAAGAAAAATCCCTCTAATCTCCCTATGCTGAGGAGGACCCAGGCATTGAGAGGGTGACACAGGGCCCACATCCAGGGGGCTAGCCCTACATGTAGTAGTAGATCACAGACACCAGCTGCTAGGGCTAGCGTGACTGGTGGGAGCCTGGTGCCAGGGCACAGAGCTGTCCTTGGCAGCACCACAGGCCTGTAGGAGGATGGGGCCACAGGGTTGACCTCCCTTCCTGCTCAAGTGGAGGGCAGGGATCTTGCTGCCAATTTTATGGACTTTGAGAACAGGTGGGAATGATTCTAGGGAAGCCCCCCTCACCCCCCTGGCCCCTGCCACCTCAGGATGCCCTAGATGGGACATCCAGACAGACAAAGCTCTGGACAACTGACGTTCTCCCTGATTCCAAAATCCTGTTCAATGAAATCTACACAGCCTCCAAGTACCTGGGTGGAGGGCCTGCTGGTGCCAGCAGAGGGTTCAACATTGGGTCAGTGATCCTGCCTGGCTCCTTCCTTGTGCCCAGCGCCAGGCACCCTGAGGAGGGAGAGAGGGAAGAAGAAAAGAAGACAGGCAAGAGAGATCAAGGCCATTTGGAAGGATCCTTTCTTCCAAACTGTCTATATAAGCAGTTTTTTACTGGCATCCTGCAGTCCAAGGGTTCCCGCAGGAGTCGGGGGCAGGTTGCGCTGGGGTTGGGGAGAGCACTACTTTTATACCTGGGAGTTCGGCTTCATGGCACACTTGGAAAAAAAGCTTCCACTACTGTATGACTGACCTGGTCTAGCAGACAGAAGAGAGGGCCCAGAGACGTCAGGGGTTGGTTGGCCCAAGTGGCATCGGGCCTGGGGCAGAGTGCTTTCCTGTCCTGTGCTGTTGGCACAATCTTAGCTTTGGGGCTTGGGAGTGAGGTGCACTCCCAAGTGTGGCCTCTTAGGATGGAGGATTCTGAGCTTCCTTCTGGGGTAGGGAGTGGAGAGAGTAGGGAAAAGACATAGAAGGATCTTGGGGAAGTTGGCTGTTGCTGAGGGGTCTAGAGCCACAGAGGGGGTGATCCTGGGGGCTGAAGCTCCATGACCTCCATACAGGAAGGGGTGTAGGAAGTGGGGGTAATGTGTGAGCAAGATGGGTTGTGCTCTCCGGGGCCTTTAATGAGCTCTGAAATCCAATCCCGTGTGGGGTGAGCTGCGATGGCTCTAGCGTCCTCTTGGCTGCTCCAAGGAAGAGGCGGTTTTTTTTTTTTGGGGGGGGGGGGGCACCTAGGAGGGGGGGGGCAGTTTATTGGAGCTGCGTTTTCATGGGAGGCAGTCTGCTTTTACTAGGACTGGGTTTATCTCGGAGTGGTTTAGGGGAGAATTAGGGAGGCTCCACAGAGCTGGCGCCAAGGCCGGATTCCTCCGCATTTACGGGCACACCCCGCGCCGCGATGAGATCCACGATGTAACATTAGTGGGGATTCTCACCGCCAGCACCTCGACTTTCCGAAGGATTCCCAAAGTCCCACCTCTTGGTTCCCTTCTTCCAGGCCGAGCCACCGCGTCCCACACACGTCGGGGAGGCGCTGGGGGTGGGGAGGGAGGGACGGCGGCCCGCGTCCACGAGGAAGGCAGCAGTCGGGGCGAGGGTCCCGCGGTCGGGCGCGCGGCTGCGGGGCTGCGGGGCTGCGGGGCTGCGGGGCTGCGGGGCGCCGCGCCGTCGGGGTGTCGGCGCGGGAGAGGGTGGGCCCGCCTCGCCAGGGGGCGCGCTTCGCCTCGGGCCGCGGGGAGGGGGCGCGCGGCCTTCGCTCGAGCCGGTGGGCTGCGCGGGGGCCTCCGGCGCCGGGCGGGCAGCGAGGTCCGAGCGCCGGGCCAAGCTCCGCGGGGCCCCGGCGGCGAGGGCCACGGCGGGGCGGCGGCACCTCGCGGGCGCGGCGGGCGGGGCGCTCCTGCTCCCCGAGCCCCGCGCCCCCGCCTCCCGACGGCGCCCGCGCCTCCCAGCCGCGCGGCGGCACTGACACCCAGCGGCCGTGGCGGGGAGTGCAGGCGCCGCCGCGGCTCCGCCGGCAGGGTCGGCGCCTCCCGAGGTTCGCACTCGCGGCGACGGGCGGGCACCCCAGGCGAGAAGGCCGCGCTCTGCAGGCTGCCTCGCGGGGCACTTCCCCTTCCCCTTCCCCTCCCCCAGCTTCCTCCGGGCCAGGCGCCCGAGCGCTGGGAGATCCTGGAGGGCTGCGGTGCCCGGAAGGGCGGGGCGGGGCGCAGCGGCGGCGCTGGGCTGTGACCCCGAGCAGTTTCACTTCTGGAATCCTACCCGGGTGTGATGGGAGAGCATCTGGGGTGGGGGCCGGGGTGGGGGCCGGGGTGGCGGTGATGCGCACAGGCGTGCCGCCGGCCCGCGCTCGGGACCCCGAGGGAGGAATGGCTTGCTCCTCCCGGGGTGTCACGCGCCCCACGCCTCCCCGCATTTTCCAACCGGCCCCCCGCCCCGCCCCGCCCCGCCCCGCCACGGGTTCCACTCGCGGTGCCCGGAGCTGCCTCTCCTCCCCAGCCGCCGCCGCCTCCGCGGGGGCTGCCGACCCCCGGAGAGGCCCCGAGCGGCGTGGGCGGCAGGAGGCGCGAGCTGTGAAGCCGCAGGCAGGGGGTTAGGCTGCGGGCTGCTGAGACAACGAGCTGTTTCTCAGAAGTGCAGCTGCCCCTCCCCTCACACCCCCCTCGGCTCCCACCTCGCTCTGCACCCCCTCCCCCTCCGCCCAGCCTTCGCTCTCTGGGCACCCCCACCCCCCCCAACCCGGGAATCTGGGGTCTGAGTCCACGCAGGATTAAGAGAGCCTGAGAGAGGACGGGGCCGGGGGTTCAGACAGCCTCGGTGCCACCCGCGGTCACCTCCGCGTCCCCCATACTCCTGTGGGCCCCGATGGGAATTTCATGCGATGCTTTAGAAAGTGACCACGTAGGAGAATCGCAGGCGGCTCTAACCGTCGTTCCAAGCGCCCACCTCCTGTCAGTGCCTGAGTGTGGTGGGGAGAGAAGGATGAGGGCACAGTCTCTTTCTCTCCTCTTCGTCTGGACTTAGAGGAAAGGCCTGGCTTGGTCTTAGCCGGAAGGAACTTTATAGAAATCCAGTTCCAGGGAAACATAAAGGCCCAGAGAGGGAAATGAAAGTGCCCACGGTCACCCAGAGAGTGGCAGGGCTGCGACTGGAAGCCAAGAGTCCAAATACTCAGCTGGAATCCGTACCAGCCTTTACTGAGACTTCAGAGCTTTGCTGGATTCATTGATTCTGTCACTCTCCCCCCACCCCCACCCCCCCACTCCCCCCAGACTAGGGAGGGTGGGTAGGGTATGCGACAGGGAGGTGGAGGTGACAGGGGGGTAGACGTGCTGGGACCAATTCCAGTGGGGGTGGGATGGGGATTGACCTCACCCCCAAGGACAAGCCTGGGGAGGAGGTGACATCTGCCCCCCTAGTTCCCACCAGCCGCCCCCAAGGCTGTGGTTTATTTGACTAGGCAGCTCTTCTAGGCCAGGGGGCCTGGTGGGGGGGGTGATGGGAAAAGACTGCTCTAGGGCTTCCTGCCCCATCAGTCCTGGGGAAGGGGGGCAGTTTACATCACCCACAGGCCCTCTAACCTCCATAGTTTCCACTGCAGTGCTCTTTCCTTGGGTATATTCATGTTATTCTGGGGGAAGGCCTGTTATTGGGGGGGAAGGGAGGTAGCTGCCTACTTCACAGGTCAAGACAGAGTTAAAAAAACCGCAGCAAATGCAACACCCCGTGTCCTTCAGGGACTTTCCATGACACCTTCCTTCCCCCTCTCCCCCAAGCCAGGGAGTACCTCCCCAGAGGGCCTCCCCACCCCAGGTGCAGTGGCTTTTGGCTTTTATGCAAACAACTGTCTGACCGGGAATGCTCTGCAGCCAGAGCATTGTGTCCTGGGCCCAATGTGCTCTTCCACCATCCCTCAGTGTTCCTGGCCTTCCCAGAGCTCTCATCTCCACTTTTCCACAAACTCTGGGTGCTAGGGAATGGGAGGTGAGGGAAGAGAAACAGGTCCTTGTCCCCCTCCTTGCCTTTGGATGGCAGTTGCCTGCAGGTGGAGGTTCGGGCACACAGCCTGTGTGAATGGCCTGGTTGTGTTGAGTGATGGGGGAGGGGGAGGAAGAGTGTGCAGGTGTGGGGTGGCCTCCCCTGCCAGGGCCACTACCCTCTAAAGTGTCACATTAGTCCCCAAGAATTAGGAAAAGAAAACTGTCCTTAGGCTGAAAGCCCATCCAGCCCCTCGCCCAGCTCCAGCCAGCCCCAGAGCTCTCTCCACTGCTCACTGGCAAATGGGATCAGGTCTCTGGTCTCCCTTTCTCTCTTAGTTGCTCCTACTTTGCGAAGGGACTGGGGCTGAGGAAGGCCACATACCACTCTCTCTAAGGCTGAGAATCAGCTACGCAGAAGCCACTTTTCAATGTAGTTAGTGTGATAATACAAAGGCAGGCTGCCACACAATTCCTCTCTCCCTGCCCTGAGTGCTGAGACTGCAAAGCCTGCTGGAGAGCCTCCAAATAATCTGATGCTGCAGGGAGGGAGTTGGTGCTGAGTAGAGAGCCAGAGGAAGTTGCCACCAACCAGGTCCCACCTTTGCTAATCCTAAACTTCAGAAATGGCTTTTTCCTGCCTCTCTCACAAAGGAGGGGAAAGGGAAGGTGTTCTGGAGGAGGCTGAGCAGGTCAGATCACCTCCCAGACTCTGGTCTGACATGTTCTAAGAGAGAACAGAAGATACCAAGACAGGGAGAAAGCTAAATAATCTCTATGCCATTCTCCTAGGACTTTCTCCTCAGCACTTTAGGTTTGGGCCCCCAAGTGTCTTAAGACTATATTTAAATGCAGCTGAGGCACCTGAGTAGCTCCATTGGTAGAGCATGTGGCTTTTTGAAAATTATTTATTTATTTAAAGATTTTATTTATTTATTCATGAGAGACACACACAAGACAGGCAGAGACACAGGCAGAGGGAGAAGCAGGCTCCTCCAGGGGAGCCCGATGTGGGAGTCAGTCCCAGTACTCTGGGACCATGCCCTGAGCCGAAAGCACTCAATCGCTGAGCCATCCAGGCACCCTCTTTTTTTTTTTTTTTTTTTTTTTTAAAGATTTATGAGAGAGAGGCAGAGGGAAAAGCAGGCTCCATGCAGGGAGCCCAATGTGGGACTCGATCCTGGAACTCTGGGATCATGCCCTGAGCTGAAGGCAGACACTCAACCGCTGAGCCACCCAGGTGCCTCCAGAGCATGTGACTCTTGACCTTAGGGTTTAATTTTGAGCCCCACGTGCGGTGTAGAGATTACTTAAAATCTTTAAAAAGAAAAAAAAGTAAAAAAGAAAAACGTGTGGCTGCATTTAGTGATTGCATGCACTTGATTTTTCCAAATTCCTAAGAAACTTGGATGTTTCTGAGACCCCAGACATGAAAAAGCCAGGACTTGCCTGTCTTCTAGAAAGAACCCTTGGTGGGAGCAAGGGCAGAGCTGTGTCTTGGAATTGAGAGATACTGCAGGGTTGATCCTGCCAAATCCAGTCCCCAACTTTCTCTGGTCCCCTTAGTGAACTAAGGGCCAGTGGAACCAGTACCTGACTCTAGGAGTATGGGAGCAACAGCAGGATGCCAACGGCAGGCTCAGCAAGGCATCAGAACAGATGTCTTATTCAGTGATAATTTCATTTACCTTGGTACTTGGACTTTAAGAAATAGCCAGAGGGGCTAAATTAAGAAAATAGTCCTAGAGACAGAATTAAACTCTTCCATTTTCTGACAACTACAAAGGATAGGCATGCACAATGACTAATTTTAAACACACCAGTATTTTTTTTTATTTTTCATTGTAAAAATCAAACATGATAAAGAAACCTCGAAAACTATTAGCAGTTTTTTTTTTTTTTAATGTGACGACGCACTCATTATGGTTCTGGCAGGGTTATAGCATTGCTACATTTCAGAAGCTGACTTTCTTTAAAGAGTCTTTACAGAGGAGTAGGATACCTTACGGTACTCCAAATGGTTGGACTGTGGGTAAAATTCAAGAGGAGTTAAGAGGGAAGGTCACTGATGGGCAGGGAGGGCATTTCTGAGAAACCCAGATGAGAATGCTATGAGCATAGGCCGTGTCAAAACCACTCGGTAAGGTCTCCCTCCCTTCCTCTTGGGGAGAAGGCCTCCTGAGCCCCTTTGAACCCCCAAACCAGGTTCCCTTCTTCCCCTGTCATTCTGCAGACAAGGGTCATCCACAGACCACACGTGTGGTGGCTTTGGCAACCAGAAATTAAAAATAAGCTATGGTTTTTCCAGTAGCCAAAATGATCCCTCACCAAAGCTCATAGATGAGAACCTGAGCATGCAAAACCACAGTCTGGGTGAAGGGATGTCTGCTTTTCAAATGATCTGCTAATTCTTTGCAACCCACAGTAATTTGGTTTCTGTGAACCCACAGAAGCAGGCCCACCTAAAAGGGTTTTGTCTGCTAACCTGGAAAAGTCCTTGTGTAAATGAGTCACTGGCAATGGGATCATTTTTAAGGCTGCCCCATTTTCCTAATATGTTAAAATGTTTGTTCTCAGTCTTTTTAGGAGAGGAAGGAGCAAAGTAGCTTCGGAAGCTAGGCCTCACAGATGTGTGGCACAGGCTTGGGAGAAGGGGGTTGGTTGATATTATGGGACTGCACTCCGGGCTTTTTAGAGTAGGGTGGATAGGGAGATGGACAGTGAGGACCATTTGAGGAAACTCTTAAGTTACTTGGGGAGTTAATAATTGAGAGCTGATGAGACAAGGAGGGAGCAAAGCCATTCTACTTCCCTGGCTGCAATGCCGTGAAGGGTCTGTACCATGAGGTTCACTCGTATTGGTTCTAACAGTCAGCAATATTCTTTACTCTTACTCATTAAAATAGCATGATGGAGACTGTGTGTTAGAGATTAGACGCCTCCACTGCCTTCTGAATTACTGAACTGTGATCCTAGTACGGCCTTTGAATATTTCCATGTCTTTAAATCCACATACCATACATATAGTGGAAAATTTGTAACCATCCAAAATACACCTCCCCTCCCCGGCAAGTAACATCATCGCGTAGACAAAATTACATAAAATCTCATGACATCCTTGGGAGGTAGATATTATGTCCTTACATTTTTTAAAATCAAACATTAACATTCCATTTTCAAATGATAACTCAATCAATATCAATGTACACGACAGTCCAGTCTTGTAATATTCAGAGGAAACTTGCATTCAACTTTTTCAAAGTGCGAAGATCTGTTTATCATGTTGACAGCATGTTGGGGTACACACTATCTACAGGTTGGGTGAATGGAGCTACAGTCTTGTGTTCTGAGCTTAGGCAAGTCTAAAGCCTACTCTTTTCCTCTAGGCTCTTCTGAGTCCACACTTAGAGGCAGCAGTGCCCAGTCCTGGGTTCACTGATCATTCACAGAGCCATTCGGTCCTTCAGCTTTAGAGAACAGAATCTTTTTCCTAGGGTGTCCCAGGTCTAGCCTTTAGTTTCAGGCCAAAATTGTCTTCTTGCCAGGCACTTAAGTCCCAAATCCATTCTGTTTTTCTGAACTCTGTCTATAGGGAGAGATTCTCTGATCTATACTCTCTGAGCATAAAAATAACTTCCAATTCTTTAAAAGAGATTATCACTGTATATCTCTTCTCTTCTGCACAGCCTGATAGTATTTTCTAGGACAAAATTTTTCTCACTCTACTTTTTCTCTTCTTGAACTCATAATATCAATTCCAAGTTTTTGTGAAAAGGCTTGCCTGTTTCTGAGGATTCAAATCTTGAGTGGCCTGGAGTTTCCAAATCTCCACTAGAGATAAATGAACCTATTCTCTGTGGGGTACGCTTTAAAGTTAGGACTCTAAGCATTTAAAACATTTCCATTACGGTCTTACTGCCTATGCTTGGATATGTATCAGCAGTAACGCTTTTTCCTTTAAAACATGCTAAATCTCACATTTAGCAGAGAGGAAAAAGCAGAGGAGGAGAATAAGAACAGTGATACAGAGACTACTTGGAAAAACTTTATGTTGGTGTGAGATTTGTTCATAACACAGTGTTTCAACTAAGCAAAATTTTGTGCTTTTTTTCTTTGCAAAAGAAATCTGAGGTCATTTTATATCTGGGCCACTGTGAGTATGGACCTAGCAAAATGTTAAGCACTGCATTTAAAAGGTGAGAAACGTTGTTACTGACAAAGTCAGAAGCTGAGTCAGGAACAGCTCAGAATGGGTAACAAGGCATAAGATTAGTTAGCTTATCTGTGTCAAGGCAAGTATCTTTTAGGGAGAATGACTTAAAGAACCTAAAAGCTAGTGGGTTTATCAATATCTTTTTTGCCCTGGTGGTGGTGGTGGAGGGTAATGGGGAAGACACTTCTGTTTAGTTCTCTGCCAGTAGGAAATACCTGTGCAATGATTCAAGTGAGGTGATAAGGAATATCTGGAGGGCCAGTTCTCTTCCCTTTCTCCCTCACTCCAATTCTGTCACCTTGGCTGCAAGGAACTTCTCCTGGGGTTGGTTGTTCCTTGAATTGTGGCCTCCTGGTGTGTGGTGGGAAATGATGGAGAGCCCAGACCTATGAGGTGCATGTCAGAGGGACTCTGACTGAGAAAGGAAATGTGCTGCCTGAAGCTGCTGCAGGACCTCACTGTCCAACATGGCTGGATGTGAATCCTGACTCTGTCCTTCTTTCTAAGGGATTTTGCTGAGATTCTCCTTCCCCCTGTCCTCTCCTTCCCACCCCCCCAGCAAGGGCGAAGGGCATTTATTGGTATAAGGGGTACCTATAGAAGGAAAGGTTTACCTGTGTGGTGGCAACCACTACATACTACCTGGTTTGACTTTAGGATTTAAAAACATGGAATTTGCACATACAAATTTTCTCTGGACTTGGTGTGCTGCGGTCTAGTCCCAGAATGCTACAGTGAAAGTAGCATTTGTGAGTGGTCACCCCACTTAGAAAACTGACCTCTGAAGAATGGAAATAATCTGTTAGTCACAGGGAAAATGAGGGTCATGTCTGCAAAAAAGTCCCTAGGTTAGCGGGATGGGCCTCTTTCATTATCTTAAGGTGCAAAAGTTGGTTTCTTCAGAAAGACTTTTCCACAGCTCTGTTGGAAATGTTCACTTTCCCTAGCTTTCTCTCCAACTAATACTTGCTTCCAAATTCTCTTTCTTTTGTCCTCTGAAGAGTCAACAGGATGTGTGGCATTTCAAGAGAATAATGAGCAGCTCCTTTGCCACAATGGGTGTCAGCAACCTGGCGTAGCTTGGAGTCTAGGATTACGGAAATACAGTGACATGCTGAAGACTATGCACTGAAATACATCTAGTCTTTTAGCTAAAATCTCAAACATGTTGGGACTGTTACCATGGAATTTCTCAAAATCTTTTTTCCTGAGACAGACACCATGTTACATGGAAGGATAAGCCATTTGTGCAGTGTGAGGTGGAACATTTTAATTACTGGCAGCACATAAATTAGTTGAGTTTGAGTCTAATGCCTAAGCCCTTTCAAAATATCAAGGCAGATACATAAAATGCGAATCTACCAGGAATTGGAGATTCTTATTCTTGGCTTTGGTAGAATTGTGCACAAAATTGACTCTTAATTTGTAAATAGGTTCCATGAAGTTGTCCCTGGAAGCAGAATTTATTTTCACTAACACCAGTTCTTAAAAAGGGGAAAAAAAAAAGGTTTTGGCAAGCAGCTGCAGGTGCCACTGTGTATATACACTTTGGGGCAAGATCAAAATACCTTCCTGTTTTTTGTTCCTCCCACCATCCTCTTCACATTCACAACTCAGTGGTTAAAGGAAAAATTTAACACTACCATTTTCACACCAAAGAAATGTGAAACAGGTATTCATATACATACTCTCCTGCTTAATACCCATACATTAAAAGGCTTAAAAGATAATTAGGGTTATAGCATAATCACATAAATTTAAAGCTGGAAGGGACCTTAGCGAGTGTCTAAGCCCAACTCTTATTTTATGGTTGAAGAAACTCAGTTTTAAGAGTTTAGTGATTTGCCCAAAGTCTTTCAGCTAATTAGCAGCCAATATGGAATGCATAAAGATTTTGGGACCCCTACTGCAGTACTAATTTTACAATTATCCCTGCACTTTTCCTTGATAGCATATCGCATAATTTAATGATACAGCTGGCCAATACATCTGCAGAACCAAGATCTGACTTTCAGGAATCTTTCTGGCATACAGCAGCTCCACTTAAAACAGGGAGAAAAACCCAGTTTGATCAAGGGAGAACATGTCAGCAGAGGTATGTCCCTCTTCACCCCATCAGAAAGCTCAGCACTGACCCAAACAACACTCATGATGTCTGATGTCTGTCCCTGTGGGGAGGGGGAGACTAAGTTATGCTTTTTGGATTGTTTGGTGGTTTTCTGTAAAAAAAAAAAAAATCAGCAAGTTTGCTTTGGGTCTGTACACTAATGCTCCATGGAGACCAAAACCTTTCAAGTAGCTGCCCCCACCTCCGGGGTGCTGCTAAACCATTTCCCCTTCAGAGTCCAGTTCTGCCAATCTTGATCACAGGAAATGGACGCCACCATCCATAGCTGACAACTTCCTGGAGTTTCAGTGATGCTCTATGTTTAAAACCATCAGTTCTTCTGATACAGAATTTCTTCTATAGATGATTGGTTTAACCTAAAGCAGCTTTTAAATTGATATGGGAGGGTAAAGGGTAGAAGCAGAAGGATCATGAAATGGCTTGATTTTTTCCCCCTTCTGTGATAAGAAATGGGTCTGCTGTTTGGAGACTGGAGTCTTCAGTTACTGGTAACAGATACTTATTTTATGGCTGTTCTTTTCCTTACTATTAGACTCTAATTTGGGATGAGGAGATTATGTCCTAGACTTTCAGTCTGTGTTAAGTGCAGAAGAGTGTGGCTTCCCAGGGAGGTTAGCTGGTGAGCTCTTCTTTGTGGCCCCAGGACATATGACCAAAAGGCTTTTCCACATATGGAGGATATATCTCAGGAAGAATGTCTCATTCAGCACAACTGGAGGGCTCTTGTGACTGGCAACAAACTCCAAGGACTGCTTGTTCCATTGCTGCAAAAGATAACGACCAAATACTTCACTGGCTTTTAAATATTATAAAACTTCAAGTCCCTGATGAGAAAACAAATGTCTCACAAAAATGATAGCATGATATATCTGCAAACAATTTCTGAATGAAGACAGTGTTTCCCTGTTGCCCATGTGAACATGACCCTTTGGACACTAAAAATAGTATGGGAATGAGTTTGGAACTGAGTTTGGAGAATAATTCGTTATGTGGGGTGTCGGTTTTTACAAATGATGTCGAACACTCAGGCGTAAATCATCTCTGGGACCAGATGTTCACTTCAGCATGACTCTGTGCTCTCCTCTGGCTATGTGAGATGAGAATTCATACCGATCATGGCTTCGATATCCACACATGTTACACTCAAAAGGGTCACGAAAGCCGTGGCAACCCATGTGAATAGTGAACATCACGTAATCCAGGAAGAGGACTCGACAGTGGTCACACCGATACACATCCATCACCTCCCCTTCTTTGTTGATCACTTTGATGGAGTCCCTTGGACAGATAGGTGGGGGCTTGAGGAGTTCATAAGAGCGGGGGATCTCCTTCAGAAGTGGCATCCCATTGCGGGCCCGAGGGGGGACCATGTGATTTTGCTGGTAGATGTGATTCTGGCGTTCTTCATGATTGCTATCAGTGTCCGTGGAGTCATGGCCACTATTGTTGGGGGAGAGGCCTCTTTCAGAAGGCAGGCTCTTCTCTGGCAAGTGGATATTCTTCTTTTCCAGGTCCTGGGGGTTACCATTTGGCATCTCTGCACGGGTGAGGGCTATGGGATACATGCTGCTGATAACTGGAACCATCTCTGATGTGGGAGCAGGTGGGGTCTGGACCAAGGGGCGCAGGGCTTCCGCACCAAGATAGCTGATGGCATTATTGATGGCTTGATCCATTATCCGGGTCTGTATTATCTCACTCTCTTTCTCGTACATATAGCTGGGATTATAGTTGACGTCAAAGCAATGGCGCTTCTCACCTAGAACAAGTGAAGAAAGAATTACAAGAGGAAGAACACAAATGCAGAGAGTTTGTAAAAGGATTTTCCAGAGTCCCTGAAAAGGGAGGAAACACATGCCTGTTTAACACCCAGCCAAGGCAGGATGGTTCCAATCGGTGCTGGGGACAGTTGTAAGGGACAGTAACTGACAGCACACGCTTGGACAGTCAAAATAAATTAAGCCAGCAGGCAAAAGGGTGAGTCAGAGATGTTATTAAGTTGAGGCTACAATGTAAGCTGTTTCCACTGCACACGTCAGAGGGGAGTGCTGGAGAAAACAGAGAAAAAGAAGGAAGAGGACACCCGGTCAGGTTCACAGGGAGCCAGGGAGCTACCACTGTGCAGGAGCATGGCCACTTCTGCACTTCAACTGCTCATGGACTCTCAACACTCAATGGATTCCTAAACTGTTATTTTGTTTGTTATTTTCTGCTCGTAATACTAGGGACCCTGGGGGACGGAAGTGCTGCAAGAAGTGAGGACCTCAGCAACTGGCCTCTGCAGCTCTTTAAATAGCTACAGAGGCAGAAAAAATAGCCCCCAAACCTCCAACTTACCACTCCCCAAACACATTGTCTCCAGACTGAGATTTAAGTAAAAGAACTTCAAATGTAGAAAGTTTTAGAAAAGCTTTCTTGAAAGATCATGGTCTTTGTCTTTTTCATAAAGTATATTATTCTTTTGCTTGAAAAAACTGTATCATTGATAAACATGTGATCATTAGGACCCACTCACGTTTAACTGAAAAATTTATTTGTGGTCACCCTCTCATACTGCTCATATCAAACTGCTGAGAAATTCTGAAAACAGAGTTTAGCCACCTTTTGGGCGTGTGGGTGTTGTGTGTTAGAAAACAGAGGCTCTCTGGCCACAGGGAAGCCAGGAGCAAGGGTCTGCAGTGATGGCAGATGTGCTCCATGATGAGTGGCTGGCAGAAGGAAGAAAAAGCAGGGAGGATGTGTCAAGTACTGAAAGTGAGGCTAAGGTATCGCTGATGTTTTTTCATTCTGTAGACAATAGATTCTGGAGAGATTTACTGAACCATATCCTCTCTTCCATAACATTCCAAAATGTTATGGTTCCAAAATCTGTCACTGACATGCACTAAAGGGTCTAATAAAGAAACAACACACACACACACACAAAAGGGATCAGAAGAACTAGTTCCTGTTCTTGAGGTGTCTCCAAACTAGTGGGAGAGAAATATTTAAAAAAAATAAAGATTTTATTTATTTATTCATGAGAGACACACAGAGAGAGGCAGAGACACAGGCAGAGGGAGAAGCAGGTTACTCACAGGGAGTCCGATGTGGGACTCGATCCCAGGATCATGCCCCAAGCCAAAGGCAGACGCTTAACCACTGAGCCACCCAGGCATCCCAAGAAGGGTCTTTTTTTTTTTAACTTTTTTTTTTTTATTTACTTATGATAGTCACAGATTGAGAGAGAGAGAGAGGCAGAGACACAGGCAGAGGGAGAAGCAGGCTCCATGCACTGGGAGCCCGACGTGGGATTCGATCCCGGGTCTCCAGGATCGCGCCCCGGGCCAAAGACAGGCGCCAAACCGCCGCGCCACCCAGGGATCCCCCAAGAAGGGTCTTGATGAACTGGTACAACTTAGATTTTTCCAAGAGGTAGATGAGACATCCTGATAAGAGGGAGGAGCAACCTGAAGGCAGAGAAGTGGGACTACTTCTACTACTACTACTACTACTACTACTACTACTACTGGACACAAACAGGAAGAGTAAGAGAGTCTGGGTGTAGCTATATCAGGAAGTATGAAATATAGCATTTCTCAAACTTCACTCATCCTTCACATTCTGCAACACTGACATCTCAGGGTAGTGTTGTGGTTGAGTGCATGAGTTCTTGGATCAGATGGACTGATGCTGGCTCATCAGTTACTGTTTGCATGACCTTGGGCAAGTTACTTGACATGTCTATGGCTCTGTATCCTCATGTGTAACAGGGATTATAATTGTATCTACCTCCCAGGGTCATTGGGAAGTGCTTGGAACAATGCCTGGTACATAGAAAGCACCCAGTAAATGTTAGGGCTTTTTGTTTTGTTGGAATCAGCTCGAATTTTCTTTTTTTCTCTCTCTCTTTTTATTTCTCTAAAATTAATTTGCTTTTTATTATTTTTAAAGATTTTATTTCTTTATTCATGAGAAACACACACACACACACACAGAGAGAGAGACAGAGACATAGGCAGAGGGAGAAGCATGCTCCATGCAGGTAGCCTGACATGGGACTCAATCCCGGGACTCCAGGATCACACCCTGTGCTGAAGGCGGCACTAAACCACTGAGCCACCCAGGCTGTCCTGAATTTGCTTTTTAGGTAAACTTTCTATCACTAATATAAACAGAAGGCTATACTCACGCACCACAAATAGAAGGTTAACTATGAAAAATAAAAACAAGGAAACAGAGCAATCAAGTTTTGATCAGATACTGTGACTACTTGGAAACAAAGATCCCCTCTCTTTGTCAAAAACAGAGATTACCAAATGTGAGATTTGTATGAAAGAAGACTAACATCAAATTAAATCTAAATCTTTTCCAAAAAAAAAAAAAACCAACCAAACAAAAAACTTTTCCCTTGGAATAATCAGCAAGAATGACAGAGAACTAAAAAATGAAATAATTTTCTTGCCCTATGGGTCTCCTGGCACTTTGCATCCCACATTTGGGGGAGTTATTGAAAAAACGTTAATACATAGAGGAACCAAAAGATAGACATTCTGAATGACCAACCACAGGATTTGGATTTGAACAAAGAGCAAACTGCTTCATGCCCTTGAACAAGGGCGGCTTGTGACAAAATGTTATTTTCAGAATATTAGTGGAACAGCAAAGTGTAAGACCAGAACAGCAAGGAATTGGAGCCTGAAAGACCAGCTAGAAGATCTAATTGAATAAGATGGATTTGTCTTGCATCCCTACTACCTTAAGGCCAACCTGATAGTTTCTAGACAAATACTGAGAGAAAAAATCGGCAAACACCCTGCCTTAGCAACTCAATAAAAAGCAACAGGAAATTAGACATGTGCCAAAGTCATCAGTGGTTCTTATTTTAAACTTCCAGATTGGATAAATCTTTGATCAAAGCTATTTGAAGGGGAAAAAAAAAAGCTATTTGAAAGAGTGAGACTGAGAACATGAAAGTCAGCTAAGGTCACAAATTCATTCCTCTGAAAATGACACAGAAATTATGAACTTTGGTTTCTTGTCCTTTTCAAGGTCATTGATGATTTTCCAGTGTGGCTGGCTCTAATCCACTCCTCAAATACCAGGGGGTCCCTGAGAATCTTTTTATCTTTTTACAGAGAGGTTCCAGAAGGTTTCTGGGGGTAGGACAGGCACATCACAAATTCTGTTTTTATCTTTTCTCCCAAGAGTTTGCTTTACTGAACTAGGCCTACAGTTTCACTGTCTCTACCACCTGCAGCACATGTCAGAAGAGAGCTGAGTGCTAAAGTTGTAAGAGGCAAAACAGTAAGAGGAAAATACACCCCTGGATGAGTGGAAATATGTGACTGAGTTCTGTGGTTAAGGCAGACCATTGTTCATTGTGAAGACAGGAGAGCCTCAGATCTTCACGTGCACGCAACCTGCAATCATCAGATCCCCTCATCTCCGAGTTACGGTAACTTGAGTAGTACAGATGATTATCAGTCACCTGTAGACACGATGACTCAATGTGTATGAAACCCAGAAGGGGTTAGCTACAGTAATTGAAAAGCCAACAGCTCACGTTTCTTTAGTAACATACTCATAAAAAAGGTTAGTCAAACCACAAGCGTATAACTTCTCCCAAACCTGCACGGAGCCTCTAGTCCAGCTTGTAGTCAAAATCGTACCACACCTTTGAATGATTAATGATAGCAGCTTCAGGCTGAATTAGAGGTTTCCTTCTGATGAAAGTACAACTGGCAAAAGCAAGTCCTGAGTTTAGGAACCAGGGCCATTCCTTACCTGTGCTTCTTTTTTAAAGGTGTCAATCCCTAGACTTTGGAAATTCTAAACCGAGCAGCCGCCTGACTTGAATTGCTGCAATGTGGTGAGGGTATATATGGGTGTTGTCTTTTTTTTTTCTCTTAAGATTTTATTTATTTATTCATGAGAGACACACAGAGAGAGGCAGAGACATAGGCAGAGGGAGAAGCAGGCTCCCCATAGGGAACTCGATCCCAGGACCCCGGGGTCACAACCCGAGCCAAAGGCAGACTCTCAACCACTGAGCCACCCAGGTGTCCCTGGTTGTTGTCTTCTAAGTGCCAACTTGAAAGTACAGAATTACCACTTAGAGCTAAAAGGGACCTTAACTGAACACGTGGATTCAGACCTCTGCTTCTGGGGTCTAGTGACAAGATCCACCACTCTAATGTTTGCCTCTGGTTTTTATACTTCACACTACCTAGCACTGTGCCTTATATATAATACTCATAAAAATAGCTCCTATTTATTGAGCCTGTATTATGTACTCAGTGCTGTCCTAGCTACTTTTTGCATATTCTCTCATTTGCCTAAGATGAATTAGCAGCTCTTACTCAGATGAATAACCTAACCTACAAACAGGTTAACTTGTCAAGGCTGCTTAAGTTGGTAAATGGAGAACTAAGTTGTAATCTAAGGGCCCATGTATATCTGCCTGTGTCTGAGCTTTTTTTTTTTTAAGATTTATTTATTTATTTATTTATTTATTTATTTATTTATTTATTTATTTATTTTGAAATAGGGAGGGAAAGGTGTAGAGAGAGAAGGAGAGAAAGGGTCTTAAGCAGACTCCACACTGGGTGGGGCTCGATCCCACATGGGGCTTGATTCCGCAACTCTGAGATCATGACCTGAGCTGAAATCAAGAGTCAGATGCTTAACTGACTGGGCCACCCAGGCACCCTTGTGTTTGAGCATAAATTATTGTTTCCTGACTGCTACCTTGCCCATGGCTGCACAATCCCACCAGTG